GAGAGTAATGATGAGTCATTCCTATTTCCAGATTGTGTATAGAAAATTAAAAATGTGTTTTAATTTTATATGTTACTTGAAAGGTTGAAACATTGAAGTATTAATAAATAGACAATATTTTTAGATCAACTGTATGAAGGCATTTTGTGAAATATTTGTGCTACAAAAGTGACATATTGTTTCCTGTTAGGCCATGTATTTACTTCTAACCTGAATAGCATGTTGACTTCTTCTTTAATATTTTGTAGTGTTCTTTAAGGACCAATTCATTCTAACAAGACACTGTTAAGCCTGAAGGTAAACAATGCTCATGCATTTAGCAAACTTTATATCCACAAGGGGTCCCACAAGGGATCTTTATTCATGTGACCAAACACATTGATTTGTATAAACTCACCATAGGACTTCTCATTGGAAAAATACCTGAGGCTAATTCTTTAGTTTAGATTGCCTAAATGCAAACAACTAAATTAGGCATCTTAGTTACTTAGGAGAATAAATACATATTTTGAGGAATAGCCCGCTATAAAATTATTTTTGTGTAGCTTTATATAAATTGCTTAACTGCCTAATGAAAATAAGTAATGAAATAAGCCTAATTTCTCTTAATTATTGTACAGTTTTAAAAATAGTGCTTAATATGTGATACAGAATTGTACACGTATTATAAAATGGAGACCTCATATTATAAAATGTATTTAGCAACAGGTTATTTGTTTTCTATGGATATTAAGGTGTTCTTTCTTAACACTGTCTAAAACAGAGTTCTATCACAGTTCCATGTGTCTTTAATTTTATCTTAAAATTCTATGAGCTGTTGCAACTATGTACAAGTTAATTAAGTGCACATGTTCTTGAATTATTTAGAGTTTTTGAGTTAATTAGAGATTAATTATTTTATAGTTGTTTTGCAAGTTCTTTAGCTTGTGGTAATGGTTACTGTGAATTGCTGCCACATTTAATTTTTTGTTCCAACATTGTAAATTATATGATGTGCCAAGAATATTTTTATTTGGCATTAATTGCCTATGAAATAGTGTGTCTCTCTGTTTGTGTCTGTATGGTATTAGCTGCCCAACTGGCATTAAAGGAAATAGTTAATTAATATAAGGCAATGAGTTCCCCAGTGGCAATAAATTTCACAGGTATGAATATAGTTAGGAAACAGCTTTCCTCCGAAAGTTAGATATATCAGGTGCATAAAAATTAGATAGGTTGAATTTTTCAGTGTAATATTTTCACATATGCAGTGGTAATGAATGCATATTCATAGTTCCTTGCAGACAGTACATCTCTTAATACACAAGGTTTTGATTTCTTTGCTGTTGATCCTGTAGTATTTTCTGTCAATATAATGAATAATGTTGCAGTACTGATATTGTATCACCATATGATACTGCTTGAATTAATTAGATTACAGCCTTTAAAATAAGTGACACGTTTAACTGATTTGAACAATGATCTCTGTCATTATATATTGTTTCTCATGCCTTGCTGGCAGTGTCTTACAGTAAGCATAATATGTCTCCCATGTGTAATATTCTCTTTGTAGTTGTGTTTGTCAGACTGTTTGTGCTGTCTCTCTGAACAGGGCTATTATAAATTATTGGTAATGCTCTTACCTATTTTTCCATAGACTGTGTTTTACACAAAAATCAATAAAAAATCAATGTAAGGTATTTTGCTTTTTCTTCTGTGCTTATGCAGAATAAATTTTAGCTTGTGTTTCCTTCTGATTCATGGGTGCTCTGATCAACAATTTCTCTGAGAGATAAAAATAGAATGTGAGTTCATAAAAATGTTCTAAGGGCAGTTAATTTCTTTTTCAATGTCTGGATTTCAGCTTTTTCACACAGACACACTGGATAGCTATATCCCTTTTCCTGTTCTAAGATACTCTCCATGCTTTCAGAACACGAGAGAACACCACAGTACTGTCAGCTGATATTCAGTCCACTTTTCATTCAACAAAACGTTTGGCCATGATGAAATTGCTAGGCACCAAGTATGTTTGCAAAGTGTCCTCTTGTGTGTATGAAATGGAATTACTCTTCAAATGAAGCAAACAGGTGAAGCACTTTGCAGTCCTGCACTTTTGGAAATATGTAACTTTTTTTCTAAGAGGCTTATTGCAGCACAAGAGGAAAACAATACATGAGAGATACAATGCTGCTTAGCTGTCCATCAGCAGCATAAACTGTTCTGAGTTCAGAGAAGTAAAGGTGCATGAGTCAGTGGAGCTAGCAGCATTTCCATTGCTGTCACATTAGGTTACATAGCCTTCCCAGACTCCCAAATGGAATATAGGTGTTTTTAAAATTCAGAACATTTAATATTGGTTTGTGCTATGCCTAACCTTACAGTAACATTTTGGAACTTGAAGTCTTTGTTTTCTTGGCTTTTATTTTTAAAATCTTCCCATTTTTCTATATCTCAGTGCTTGTTCTACTAAATGTTGATATTATGCCAGCAGCTGGGGCCCCAAACTTACACCCTTCTCCAGCCTTACCTTGTACTGTACAGGAGTGTAAGTTCTGTGTCCTGTGATTTACTGTGTTTCCTTACAGTAATAAAGATCAGTGAAAGTTCCCCTCCATTCCATACCACCCCATGATCTCAGCACTGTATTTTAATATTACAGGCAGGTAAATCCAGATGTTGTAAGCTCTGTTGACTAGATGGGTTTAAGGTTGAGTCTACTGCCAGCCACTTCAAAGGTCTTTCCCTTTTATTCTGTGAATATCAAACATAGAACGTCTGTCAGGACAGAAAAAAAAAAACAAACCAGGAAAGGAGAATGAAAAGGAAGTCAAGGGGTCAGACTTAGAAAGAATCTTAAAAAGACTCTAATTTCTGTACTTTACAGACCTCAGTGTCATATTTGATAAAGAGTGCAGGTGGCTTTGGACAGAATCTACATGTTGAGTATAGCCAAGAAAAGGACATCGCTTGACTAGGAGCTGAAGACCCCCCGTTTCAGCACATGAAAGGTATACACTGAATAATAGTCCCTTAAAAGCTCACAACTTATTTTGTAAAACAGCGAATACTGAGTGCTGGAGGAAATAAATCACTCAGCAAAGTCAACAGGAGATTAATGGCAGACCTAGATATGTAACCTTGATCTAACACACAGCTGTGTCCTACACACAGAGTGCTATGGTTTTATGAAATTTAAGTTTCACCTCAAGAATAAAGTTTGCTAACTGTGTCTTTACACCAAAATAGTTGGTCCTCAGTCAAAACAGAAATCCTCTTTACATCAAGTATATGTTTTTAACATATTTCTTAGCATTTGTAAGACTTAGAATTCAACACTCTCATAAGTAAGGCCTTGGTGTATGGAATATTTTCATTGCCAATGGAAGAGGTAGATGTGATAAAAATATAATATAAGCCTGTTTGGCTTATGAGTAAATATTATCACAGTTGATTGCATGATTTTGAAGATGGGCATTTGCCATTCGCCAAAGGCAGCAGAATCACTGTAGTTGAACTTGCATAATGTAGCTTTCATCCTAAATTTTAAAAGCTTCATTTTGAAGAAGATGCACAGTGAGCAAATGGAGCTTTGCAATATGATCTTTGGAACAGTGAGCCAACAAGTGCCATGTGACTTAAGCTTATAATTTACAGACTAAGTTGCCCAATTTAGGTATATTCACTATACATTTGTCATTCAAAACATGGAGCAACCATACTTGAAATCACTTAGGTTAAAATAGAAATATATGTAAGCAGGTTTTTAAATACAAGCTTTGAAACTTTGAATACATACAACTTCAGTTCCTATCTGGGCACCAAGAGAAAAAAAATATATATAAACCAGCTTTTTCAGCTAAACGCCTGTAGACATATAAGCATTGTCAGCACAATTAATCTCAGATGGTTAATAGAAAATCCTGTTCCATCCAGTGTAAGCCCTGATACCAAACAGAATGTTCACAGAAACAAATACTTAAGCAGAATATGGAAAGGCCAGTAAAGTGGTTATAGTAATGGAGAGATGTGTGTTCATGAACTGATTGTCAAACCACCAGCTCCAAGGCTGGCAACCTCACTGTCACTTCATGTGAGGGCACTTTATAAACGTGCCACAGGTCCTGCCTTTGTATGACCTGTGTTCTATGATCACAGCTCAGGATGTTATGGATGTCAAAGGGGCCATTGCATTTTCTAAATTCAGACTCCTATACTATGCTAGGCTATAATTTTGCCATCATTTTGGAGTTGCATTACAGGATGAATTTCTACTAAATGCAGAGTGTGCATGAGCAATTCCGTGTGTACACAAATACACAATAGTGTGTATTTTCTCTTTGATGGATAGAGAACTCTATAGCATATGTGAGATACACCTTATTTTTGCAGAAGGCAAGTATGAAATGGGAGAGGTGTAGCCTGCAAGCTGGGAAAAATGAAAATAAGGACTGTGTTGGTTATAGTTGGAGCCATAAAGTTATCTTTCTTGATTGTTACCAGTCACTTCTTTTCATAAAAGTTAGCTGTTTAAATCTCCAGATATGTTAGCATTTAATAGATTTATTCACATATTCAAATATTGCTTGGAATCACTGTAGTTAATTATTTGTCAATGAAAACCGAGGTATCATTGAGCATCAGGAGTGCCTGCACTCAGACTCGGGATACGTGCATATCCAACGTGACTTGTGTGAAAACTGCCCAAAGTGTGTCCAGATTCTAGGAATGGCAGCTAAAGTGAGCAGTCCAGTAGAGTACCTGTGAGCACACCAAGCGCTGTGTTGCCTTTGAATCTCAGCTGTCAACTAAACCTCAAACATCTGCTCGCTGTTTGCAAGTAGAAGATACCTACATCCCCTCACCTTTCTGTCCCGGCTTTTAGTAGTTTGGGTTTTTTTTGTATCAGTCTATGCAGAGAAAAGGTTGCTTTTGCCCTTTTCCCTTCTGCCAGGCTACCCCAGGCAGCGCTTTCCTGTCCCGGGTTTGTCATGCTGGCGTCCCACGGAGGGTTTTTCATGATGGGCCCACCGGCCTCCTCCCTTCCAGCTGCCCAGCATGCGGAGCCTCTGCCCCGGACGGCTTGGAGAAATGGTTTTCTCGCCGAGCTCGCGTTCACAGACAGCAGCCCACGAAGCGCCTTTTCTGGCCGGGTGCAGGAAGGTGTCACGGTGAGGGTGGCGGCAGAGCTGTGGCAGGGCAAGGCGGCAGGAGGGCCGGGCCGGGCCTCGGCGCCGCGCTCGGGGCCGCTCGCAGCGGCGGCGAGAGGCGCACGAACGGCCCGGACGGCGCCCAGGTGAGCTCCGCCGCGGGCAGCGGCATCCCCGGCCCCGGTGCTGGCCCGAGCCCTGCCCGGCCCGGCCCTGCCCGGCCCTCTTCTCTTTCTCGGGCTCAGACCAAACCTCGGTGTGTGCTCCGCACACGGCGTGGAATTACCGGTCCCTGAGTAAATTCATATTGGTTTAACGCGGCTGTTTCACATTTTATACGCCTCAAGAGCAAAATTTCAAAATTGAAAAAAAAAATTAAAAAGGTTAAAGTGTTGCTTTTTCAGGAGACGCAGTTGAGGTCAGTGGATTTGAATCACGTCATCGCGCTACTCAAAGATTCGGGCTCAGTAAGTAACCCTGGCTCCTCGCTGTCTCTGTTACACAGGTGGTAATGGGCAAATGTTTTGTACAGTTGCTTTAGCACCCACCCTGAATAAACTCAGATGGGTTTATTATAGACAACACAGGTGGCTGGAGCTACAGAGCACCAAGATGAGTATTTCTTCTGGTATTTGAATGCTTCTAAAGATCGTCATTGTTACTAAAAAAAAAGTGTCAATATTTAAAAAAAATACACAGAGAAAGAGAAGATCACACAGGAACTTAAAGACAAAATCATGAGCATTCAAAAACTAGACATGCAGAATTTCTAGCGTATTTTAGAATTTTAGAATACTGAAACCTATAGCTGGGAAATAGATGTACATACAACCTTATTGAAAGTATGCCATGAATTTATGTAATTGCCCAGGTTAACTGCTAACAGTTCTCCAGGGAGATGATTTTAAATGGAGGTGAAACATGTAAAGGTCAATGTTGAAGAATAAATACATCTACCTGCGCACACAGGAGAATCATCATCTCATGGGCTTTCACAGATGATTTTAAGTCTCCACAAGATGATTTGGCAGATTAAATTCACTAAGCCATCAAATAATTTTGATCCAAAATATGGATAATTTATGCTCTTAAACAAGGATCGGGTTAAACCTAGCACATTTTAAATTAATGCCCCACAGAGAAGTAGTTATATCTTCCCCTCTTCCCCTTTTTTAATACAGAGCTGGTATAATAAACTTACTGACTGAAGAAAAAAGTGCTGGATGATATTGTTTACCTCTTCTGTAGATATGTAGATATGATAAAATACCTATAGGATTCTGGGCTTGTATACTCCTGAAACAACTTCCTGGCCTGCCTCAAGTTGCAGGTGCTCAGGAGAGCTGAAATGAACTCTGCAGATCACTGACACAGCCTGACATATCCTCACTTCAGTTGTTTTCAGATTTGAATTTGAAGGCTCTTTCCTAGTGGTGCAGAGTACTCTAAGCCACTTAAATCTACATGCTTGCACATTTATGTTGTGTGTGACATAGGTTTGGTTTTCTTAGCTGCTTTACAAAGAATCACAAAGAATTTCAGGGAGAGTCAACACGTTTAAACAGGAGTTTTTGAAAGCCTCTTCAGTTACAAGAGAACAGACTTCATACTAAGAAATGAGGCTTCATCATGGAGTCAATCCTGCTTCAAAGCACTTTGAAAATTTTGTTGTGTTATGTAAACTTTTAAATCTGGTTTCCATTTTCATTTAAACTTAAAAGGGGATAAACATAATAATTTAAGGTTCTAAGGCGAACTGCAATTAAAACTGCTTTTCATTCTTTTACTTAAGAAAGATTTGGAAAAAGAGCAGCTGAAAAGTCTCAAGAAGGTAGTCAAGCATTTTGAAAATGGACTTGTATCCTTTTGGCAATCTAGAATTCTAAAGTCATGGTGTTTTATGTATGGTAATAGTCTGACTTTTCAGTGAAGTATTTGATGCTGTACTGTGTTTCCCCACGGAGAGTAGGGATGATGGTATACATTCTCATCACTGGCCTCCTTGTGTGCACACAGCCAAGGTTGGTAGGTTGGCAAGATTCTTGGATATTAGATTCATTTCTCACAAAATTCAGTAGAGGGTTCTCTCCTGTACAGTGGCTGAAATGGTCCAAAATGTAACTGGTGTACTTTAAACTCAGAATACAAAAGCATAATAATTTCCACTACTTAAGAAACAGCAAATAAAATAGCAAGATAAATAGACTTCCACTAAGGAGACATTTTAAAGAAAAATGTAGTCAGTCTAATTTATCTGTACAGTACAAACTGAAAGGTTCCAATAATGAGAAGCACTAAGGAGGGTGTTGGCATGTGGAAAAATGTTATTAATTTCATACAGTTCAGACAATTGCACAGTGATTTAAGGCATCACATTACAACTGAGTTGTGTACTTCAAGACAGTTTCTGTGAGTCAGTGTAGTAGTAACTTCATGGTCTCGGTTTTCTGTTCAGCTTTGATTTTGTGCCTCTACCCTAAATTAAATAATCTCCATAGGTACTTGGGTCCACATTTTCAAATTACAGTTAGTCACTTGGGACTAGAGGAGAAAACAATTTAAATATCACAAGACTGTCTCAGAATTTAGATAGGTAAATCTGACATGATCTAAAAACTTTTCATCCTCTATTTTTAGAAATTCAGTGTTTAGTGAGCTTCCAGTGAGTTCAGCTTAGAAGACACCTAAATCAGATTTGAAAAATTTGTACTTATGTGAAAGTTAGGCTGCTTCAAAAAGCCTAAGTATTGACTCACATACTTCTTTTAAACACCTAACTTTGTAAACATTGGTCTTATTTTTTCTTGGTTGTGTCTTTGAAGTGTGATGAGCACAGTTTTCAGCTTTTTCGGCTGATTCATAGTGGTACAGATGATCTGATTTCCTTAATTTCATGTTAAAAGCCCCTTAAGGATGTAGTACAAATTACTGAAATTCTTAACCTGTGTGCAAAAAAAATGAGTGAACAAGAAGCTTTCACTGAGCCTTTATGTGAACTTATTAAATTGTTTGGGTAAGTACCTCAGCCCCTCTTTTAGAGATTTAAATACTGCTTATTAACAGGTTTATACATTTTCTAAGGCAACTAACATATCCATACAGCATTTATCTACAAAGCACCTGCAACTGCAAGGTATCCATTGGATCTTCCTTCCTTTTCATCATCTGCCTTTGACTTGTGTCCAGTTTCTGCTGACATGAATGAGGAACGTATTTTAATAGTTCAGTATTTGCAGTTACATGTTTCATAATTCAAAACTGTGTTGTACTTGGCCCCAGCTTGCTTGGAAGCAAGGTTCCCCAAGGTCTCTTATTGCCTAAGTCAGTGTGGGACTGCTGGCCTCAAAGGATTCAGCAGCTAAGTGGTACTGAGGTGTGTTTTGCTGTTTCAGACAAGCTCTTAAGTGAGCTTAAAAACTTAGGGTGACAAAGACACTCTAACAGCTGAAGGTAAGCATTACAAAATGACACGCCATGTTAGAGGAAAGAATGAACGTCAACAGGATTTAGGATTTATATTTACTTTGAAAACATATTGCATGAACTTTTGGGCATCTTTGTTGTCATACTGTATTTTAAGTAACCCGTAGAATAGAGTTTAGGTGTTACCCACACTTGTCAGTAGTTTTCTCCTCCTCAAAAATTCAGTAAAGTTATTTATGGTTTGCTTGTAGCTACAGTTATTCCTAAATTAATTTCATTTCATAAAAAAACAAACCACCAGATAGAAAACTAGTGGCATAGTAAAACAGATATTCAGGTAAATTTTTACATGGTTTCCTCTTAGATGTTAGGTTTAGTAAACAGAGAACTTCTCAGCTGAATCTTTTAGTTCCCTAAGCTCCCTGAGATGTACTGCTTTTCTTTGCTGCCACACAGTGGGGAATGAGGAGGTACATCATGGAGTGTAATTTTCTTTGGTGTTTGCTAGAAGCATGACATAATTGAAAATGAGTATATAAAGTTGATAAAATGTAGCTGTGTGACTTTTCCTCTTTTAGAGCAGTTCAGCACTAATTGTGGTTTCTGCAATGAAAATATTTTAGAAAATTGCACCCTAGGGTTTTTCTTTAGTTTCTGTACTATGGAAATTCCACCACAATTCACTACTACTTTATATGACAGTATACCCAGAGGCAGGGGCTGATTTTTTTTTTAGGGTTCCATTTCAGATACATTAATTTCTCCAGTAAAATATTCCACTCTTTCATAACTGCTTCTGTTTACCTGTCTTTTTCCCACTTTTTTTTCCCCCCCAATGTCTTGTTTCTCCCTCCCCTGCTTCCCCCAGCATTTATTCTGTTGTTTATTCTTTCCTTTCTTTTCCTCTGGCAGTATTTACAGAGGTAAACCTACTGGAAAGCTGCTTCCACAGTATGTGCTGCAGAGCCCTTAGCATAATATTGTGATGTTTACTGTTAGACAGTTCTTAGCATTTACGTGTTTTGTCACATCTGAGTATTTTGAATACATTATTGAGTATTTATTAGTAATCTGGGTTTAAAAATAAATTTGTTGTTGTGCTGTTTGGAGTCAGTTTATTTGGTTTATTTTTATCCATTTCCAGAGTTCTTGCTCAGAGATATGATCCCTTTTTTCCACCTCTGCACATGCCTGTATGTAGCCCAGCTCTGTAATAGCCTGATAGTCTCTAGGTTGTAGGATTTAGTCTTCCAAATGACATTTGTTTATTCAGCGTGTCTTGTTGCATCATATTTGAATTATGAAAATACTATCTATGAACATGTACCACTAATTGCCAACATGTAATTGCAGATTATGAAGCTTTCAGTGTAAAATCAGCATTGCAAAGAGTGCATTCATCCTAGAAAATGTGTCCTTATCAGAAAAAATTATCAAGGAAGAAGAGAAGAGCTGCTGAACTTTTCTGGTGACTTGATTAAAACATAGTTGTAATGTTTTTAAATTTCATTTTGCAGGTTACCATTTCAAAAAAAGAAATCATCTGATGAAGTTAACTATTCCGTTGAAGTTTCACAATCCATTGCACAACTGGGTGAGTGTAACCTGATACGCCACAATAAAATTATTATTATGCCATAATAAAATCAACTGTATTATTAGCACGATTTTAATTTCTTGTTACTCCTTAATAAATGTAGGTAATTTCTTTAAATTATTAATTCAATCCTCTGTGTTTTTCATATTAGAAACAATTTTTACTTTGCTCTGCGGCTAACCTGAAGATTGGCTAGCAGAATTACCTATTTGCCAATGTCAAAAGCTACATGAGAAAACATTATCAGTGCAGATGAAGAAGTAAATATATATCTAGCCTGTTTAATTTCATTTTGACCTAAGAAATGGGGATATCACTGTAAACACTGAAACCTGGAATGTCAGGAACATGTATCCTTCCTGCTTCTGTGCTGCCTTTATTTCATATCATATCTGCTTAGAAAAAGAGTTTCTAATGACATGGTAATGATGACAGCAGCTGAGTGTAGTAGCTTAGTAGCTTTCCTCAGAATTCCACAACTTCTGGAATACCATCCAGTGCCTTATGAATGTCTGTAGGCATAAAGCAGAGAAGGTAACTTTTTGGTTAAACTTATGCTACTCCTCTAAGATGCCTTTGTCTTCTCCAGTGTGGGGAGTCTCTGCCTCTTGAATATTTTCTAATGAAACTTTGCATGAAATTACAGATTTGTAGGTAATGCTAAGTGCTGTAAAAAGAAGAATACTGTGTTAAGAATACTTTCTTTAAAAATAAAGTCTGTTAATTGCATTTATTTGTCTTTCTGACAGGTTACTTGATGGGAGTGCCAAGCTCTCAAGTTAAAATACAAATCTGTAAGAGCATTGTTAGCTTTTATAATATGGAGCTACCAGGAAAACTACTTTCAGGTAAAGCAGGGTATTTTTATTTTTTGATGATCCCAACTACTTTGAAATGCCTCTTTTAATTAGCTATTGATTAATTTTTCTTTATAACTATGGTTACTGTATTTAATAAATATATAACATTGGCAAATGTATAATTAACATGTTTTTATAGAGGTGCATATTCTAAATCTGAAATAAGTTCATCAATGTACAAGGAATTAATTATTACGCTTAAGAAAATTAGCATTAAATAGCATCCAGAAAATGTGAGGTGATATAAGATCTCTGAAATGTGGGGGGAAAAAAGCAGTTAGGATCAGAATTATAAGAAAGGAAATCTAGTTTTTGGGTTTTTATATGTAGCCTGGAGAGAAGCAGCTCTGCTTTCTCTTGTGTTATGATAGATCTGAACTCCTTTAAATTTGATTGAGTTCGTATTGTACAGACACATTTTAGCATAGGTTTGAATATATGGTGTGACTTACTCTGCAGAAAGAGGCTATGCATGAACTCAGGCATGACCAGAATCCACTATTATATAGTTCCTTTGACTCTTATGATGGGGCCAGGGACTGTTGTCAGGTGAAGTCAGTCATGGATCAGTCCCAGAGGGGCACAGCATCACATGCTCTGAGACTGCACTGCCTTTGTAGGCAAGCCAGCCTCAAGTGAATATTGCCATAGTGTGGCTCAAGAGTGCAGGTCAAGGAGCATGCTTGATGTCAGCGTGCTCCTCTGCTGTGTTCCTGCAGTGGGGCACTGATTCTGTGCCCTTTTACAAGTTTTCATTTATTTTAGGAGGCCTAAAGAAGCTGCTGCTACTACAACCCTTTCAAAATTCTATAAATAGGAGAGCATCCAAATCTTGTTTTACCTTACGAACAAGACTCAAATCCTGCACGTAGCTATGTGCACATTTAGTTCTGTATCTGTAAATTATTCCATCAGGATAAATGAGTGTTATTGATCAATTTTGTTTTTCTTCTTCTCATTTAGAAAATAAAATAGGTTATCTTGAAATGAAGAATGTGTTTCAGTCTGATTTTTTTAGTCAAGTATTTCATCTCTAAACATATATGTAAATCTTGCCAAAGACTGACCTTGCAGAGTTCTCTTATCTGTAAAGTAATATCAATTTGGAGCCTATCAGAGTGTGTGCTTAGTTAAACTTCATTTCACCATGTGCATTATCTGTATTTATCAATCTTGTACTTTATGAAATTTGATAAATATATATATAGTGTGTATATATACACATATATATAGTTAAGCTGCTTAAGATAAACTTTGCTGCCATGACTTATCATAATATAAACATAAATAGAAATTTATTTTCTCAATGCTTCACCTTCCCCATAATTCCTTAATGGAATAAAGGTTTGCATATGCACGGACAAAAGTAAAAACAGGGACACATTAGAAAGTCAAGCTTGTAAATCAAAGTGTGGATTCACCTATTTTAAGTCATATGATGATAGAATGCAATAATTCTCCAGTCAAATGGCTACTGAAGAGAACTAGGTTACTGATGACTGAAGAAAGTTTTTCACTTCTGTAGCCCTGCTTTTGCTTTCATTGTCTAAATTCTAAGAAGCAGAAAATTTGTTTCTATATCATTGAAGTCTGCTTGAGGGTGATTCAGTTGGTTGTGTTATAGACACTATTCAGATATAAGAAAAGCAGCTCTTGTGTATTGGATTGTTTTTCTTAACTGCTTGAAATATGATACTTGATTTTCAATCCTTTATTTAAAAAGTATGAACATTTTATGAAGTAATCAAAATTCTCAGTACTTACTGCATTTTAACTAAAGCTATTGTATGTGCAGGTTACCAGCCAACAAATCCAAACTATAAAACCCATATGGCTGAAGAAGGAGGATTAGCAGAAATTCTTGTTTTGTCACTAGCATTTGTTGAAAATCAACTTACTGAGAAGTTGTGGGTACTTAAAGCTCTCCAGCATCTTTCCACCTCTGGTTAGTACAAACTGTTCTTTCAATTGAACATTGTTCGTTATCATTGATCTTAGATCATTTATTCTCTGAACATGCCTGAAACAATTACTGACCTGTAGAGAATTAATTACTCTGATTTAAATAATTTCAGCAATAAGTTGTGGACAAATGGTGAGGGCCCAAGCAGCCACCAGGCTTTGTTTGTGTCTAAATGGTGCTGATCCCTCAGGACAGCTGGTGCTCCGCTCCTCAGATATCCTATGGAACCTGCTAGAAAAAGCCTCAAAAGAAGAAGTTGTTAATCAGCTCAGAAGCTTGGAATGTGTACGGTAAGTACAGGGAGCATTTTTTGAATTAATTTGTCATTTCAGAGACATCTGCAGCATTCTGTTGTGTACCATTTTGTTTGAAATTAACTGAGAGAAATGAAAATGGGTCTCTGATTACATCCTCATTAAGTTTTCAATATTAACATAGTAGCTGCTGTTACAGGGCAAGAACAAGGTGCTCTGCTGCATGGTGCAGGAGGAATAGCTCTATCTATTACTTTGTACAATAGAAGAGTTAATTGCAGCATTTTGAAGCTTCCATGTTAGGCTTAACAGGCCAGAATTCCTTCGCTGTTGAAGTGCTGATCTTAAAAAATTACAAGGAATTTCTATGCCATGATATACAAGATTTATTTTTAGATCCTCTGCTGGAGTAAATAACAGGTTCTTCCTTAGTGAGTTAGACTGTTTTAACTATTTGAGATTAGACTGTTCCTTCTCAATAATCATTCAGCAATAGCCAGTTCCACATTTGAGTAAATATTTTGTCTTTGTATTAATTAATTGTAGCACAAAGAGTGGAAGATGAAATTTTTAATACATGCATCTTGCATCTATGAATAAATGGGATGTCTAGTGGTACCAAAAAGAATACACTTCATAATAAAGTTTTAACTTATTTCACTTGTAGTTAAACCCTAAGGCTTTGAAAAGCATGATGCTGAATGAGGATTCATATATGTAGAGCTGTCCAAATTAGAATATCAAAGGAAAAGATAAAATGCATTTCATTTTCTTTTAAGTGCTTTGAAAGAAGTATTTCTAGACCTCATATGTGGCTTCCGGCACTGCGATCAGCAGCTACGGAATGACCTCTTGGTGATTGCCACGTTACTAGCTGAAAAACCTGAAGTAGCTATGATTGTAAGTATTTAGAGTAGTATTCCAGAGACTAATAACTTCTCCTTTGCTTTTATAAGCTCGATATTCTTCCCCATTAGGGTTCTAATATTTTTTTCTCCTGTGTCTCCAGTGCTTTTTTCTTTCCTGGATTTGCTGAGCAAGAAAACATTTTTTTCTTTCTGTAGTTGTCTGTACCTCAGAGATTTAAAATCTGTAGGTAATTAGCCCAGAATACTAGCATCAACCTTATTTAGTACTTAGAAAATCACATTAACATTATCTATGTGCAAAATTGAATGTTAATTCTTGTATTCTTGTATGGATTCTTGAATGTGCCATTCTCCTAAAAAGAGTTTTGCACTAAATCTCATTTTTTGTTTGAACATGTAGGCTATATTCAGATGACCCAAATTCAATGGGTGCCTCATAACTGGGAACAAGAAGAGTGTGCAAAAAATCAGCTCAGAAGCTCTAAGTAAGATTCTGAGAAAATAATTAGGTCCAGTTAATAAGAGGCACATAAATTCTTTTAAAGACTATGTCACATAATGCACTACCATGACTTGCCTGAAATGTAGATGACTCATTCTTTTTTAATATTCCAGAATTTTTATGAGAAACCTGCAGAGAAATTAACTTTATGTAGAGGCTAATATTGCTTTAGTCTGTTGTTTTGCACTTGAGATGAGCTTCAAATGAAGTTGTGATGTACATACTGAATAATTAAGCAATCTAATCCCTGTAAATTAATTGGCTGTTCAGGAATATATCACTTTCCTCTTGAAGAGAAGTTTACCAGTTGGCTGTATTACTACATGAAGATTACAGACTTTCATTCAAGCTTTTCATTTAACACCAACTAGTATGAAATATCTGTTATACTATTGAAGCAACATATTGGATAAAAAATTCAAATTGTTTATCTGGCTATAGAAACAGGGCATTTTATTCCTACAAAATAAGTAAACCAGATATGTATTTTTAATCCCTTATACTAAAAAGAAGAAAAAATGTTTCTATGCCAAGAAAATATTAAAACAATTTAATTTAGGTTCTCTAAAATCAGCCTGCCTAGAGATTTTACAAGGTATAAATTTCAGGTAGAAAAACCATTAACATTACCATTTAATTCTGCCTTATAAATAATACTATAGCAATTTGCTTCAGAATGTTCCCTTTTCTTAATATACTATTCAAGCAACTGCAGAAAAGTCAGTCTTGTATTTTATATAGTTCACAAATCAGCACAGAAGTCTGAGCCTTTGAAAAGGAGAAGTTTTCTCATCACAAGCAAACTGTATTATTATCTTTCTGTTAGGAAAAAAACTGTTTGCTAATTGCTTACCTCTGGAGCAACACTCCTTTGCATCTAATGTGCTGCACAGACCCCTCCTGGCTGTGGACCTATCCATAGTTATATTAGACATTATTGTCCTTCTGTTAGCTCTCTATGAGTTGTGATTTACAAGATTTTATTTCTGAGCTTTTCATAAGTGGTATTGGTAAATTCTTCTTGCCCATACAGGCAGTTTTCCTATGTTTACTTGTAAATGCACTGAATATGAAGTGCATTGGTATGCATAACTGATGCTACAAAATTATATGTACTGATGACCCTGATGTAAAACATGACCAAAGGCATTTTAAAAAACAGCTCTAAAAGCACTGAGAATATTTTTTGTGTTAGATTATAGCAGTGAATACAAGTGTTTGGGACTTCCCCACAGAAGTTCAGACTTGTACTGAATGAAACATGGGTTTAACTAATTGTACCCTTAGGACTGCAGTTAGTTATTGTTGTATAATGTCCAAAAGGTTGTTCAATTCTTTGATGAAATTCTGTTTATTCTGCCATAGGATACATTAAATTCTGTGTTCTGAAGAAAAAAGTCAAGCCAAAATTAAATCATAAGTCTTAATTTCACTGCAATTTAATTAATGTATGTTTTTTGAATGTCTGTTAGGAAAGTGGATTTGCAGAGATCTTAATAGTACTTGCAACATGTACTGAAGGTAAGAGATTCCATAGTGCATAATTACACAATTTTTGCTTTTAATTATGATCTTTTTGTAACTTGTCTTCCATTTCCATCATAGTTAGACTTCCCAATCCTTTGGTGAAAGGTTTTAAACTTACCTACTCATACGAGGATTTTGAGATGAAGAAGTTACTATTTAATCTAATAGGAATCTTATCTAAAGACCCATCTGCTGCACAGGTAAGTTGTAACAGAACAGAAATAATAATTTAAAAAAAAAGAAAAAGACAAAAGAATCACAAGAATATTAGTTATCTGTCCATCTACAATATACAGTACACTGAAATTCTCTGTTCTCCAAATCAAGAATTCATACATCGCTTGAGATCAAGCCCTGCTGTTGGAAAGTAGCATACAATTTCTATTTTAGAAAATTACAGACTTAGACCATGCTAGGGAAATTTCTGACAGTGACTGCAGAGTATTGTTGAAATACACCTGAAGAACATAATAAAATTTAGCAAACCATAATCTCTGGAAAAGATACAGAATGTAAAAACAGTTTGCCTGTACTTGTAGTGTTCATGACATATTTTCTCAAGTAAAAATTAATTTTGTTATTGTAGGACAGATAAAGTTGAGTTATCCTTTAGATTTTTCTTATTTGCATGTGAAACCTGTAAACTGTCTCTCCTTTTCTTTGTCTGGACTCTGCAGCTCCTCAGAGAAAATCATGTGATGCCAGCTTTGCTTTATTATGTAAAACAGAATCGAAAGCCTGGATTTCCTGACTGGTCTGCTGCTCAATATGAAGAATTACAGCTTCATGCAATTGCTGTTTTAGCTTCAGTGGCTCCTGTGTTAGTAGACAAATATTTGTCCTGCCAAGCAAATACTCTTCTCCTTGTGTTTCTAGAATGGTGTACAGGCCAAGGTCATAGCTTTCACACAGGTAACCTCAAAACAGTTCAACTGAACCTACTTTCTTTGACAGGGAAGGGAAACGTAAAACTCATGATGTCAAAATGATTCTTTTTCATAGGCTGTGTAGGAAACAAATGTTTCCAAAAAAAAAACAACCATCCTTTTTTTTTTTACTGAAGGATAAGCTGGTGCCCCTCTCCCTGTGTACCACTCTATTGATAATTCCTTCAGACAAACTACCTCACTTTAAGTGAGCCAGGCCCTTCTTTAGTGGCAAGAAATGCAAGCAGGAATTCCTGCCATGAGACAGGACATGTTAACTCAGAGTTGCACACAGGGAGACAGATTCCAGACTACACAAGGCTTCTGGGCAGCATATAAGAGTGTGTGCTAAGCAAAAATATAACTGAGTGCACTCAGTTTTATTGACCAGATTTTCTAAGGATAGGTATTTTTCATGATAAAATTGGTTTATCTTCCTAGGTTTCCTGAGAAATTTCCTAAGAAATTTTTAATTGGGTTGAATGGAGATCAAAAGGTGGATATTAAATGTCATACTAAACATAACATATTTTGAGTTTGTAAAACTGCTCATGAACCTATTAAAAATGTATCATAGTTGTAAATGTTCACCAAAATGTTACCTTTCTTGTGCATGTAAAAAGTATAGTCCTAAACAAAAAGACTTAATACTAGATGGTTTTAAAGAAGAATGATTTCTAACTTCGTGGGGTTTTTGTTGTTGTTTTGTTTTGGGTTTTTGTTTGTTTTGTTTTTATTTTTCCTGAGCACATTATTCTGAACATAGATTGTCTGCCAAAACTAGTATTGGTTGTGATTGCTCCACAGATCCTTTCTTTGGTCAAGGTAACAGTTTCCATGGAAGAGGTGGCCGTGGCAACAAACTCCCACAAATGCGCTACAGCCTCCGAGCTCTGAGATCTGTTGTGGCCCTTTATGATGATGCTGTGAACATTAATTTGTGTGACCAGGGAGCAATTAGCCAGCTACTGGGTAAAACACAATTTGTATTTCTGTTCTTTAATTGGTACATTTCTGTTGACACTAAGAATGTGTTTTTGCGTGCAGTGCTTTTAGTGGGTCCTTCGACTGCTGAAAAACTAAAAAAACCTCTGGCAATTAATCCAAGATGAAACTGATTTGATGTTATTTTTTTTCCATTTCAATACATGTTGAATGAGTTAAGAAAAACAGACAGTTTTAAAAGTCTAGATGTTTAATTTCAGAGAAAAAGTGCCCCTTCTCGCTTTATGTTACTTCATTTGGTAGATCTTGTTTTCATTGTGGCAGTCCCCAGAAGCTCCACCCCATGAGTATTTTTCCACCTAGGTCTATCACAGTGTTGCTTTCCACAACTCCTCTTTAGCATAGAGTAACAATAACAAGGTACCTTTATATGAACAATGTGAAGAAAAGAAGCAGAATAAAACTGCTTAATCATTGCTCCTCCAATTTTAGAGCATTTCTTGTTCAGTAACACATACCTACTGTTAAATTTGGTTTAATTCCAAAACAAGCTGGTTTAGGTTTTTCTTACAATATCAGAAAGTTTTTAGTACTCTGAAGGAAACAAAACAGAAAAGATCCTTTGGAATTCAAAGAGTATGTTCTAATAAAAAGCCTACAAATTAAGTATTTCACTCCAGTGAAAACTCTGGAAACTTACAGCTTTTAGTGAAAGCTAAATTATTACTATGCCTTACATATCAGAATCGAGTAACTTACTCTAGGGGAGTTTTGTGTATGAATGCCCTCTTCCACATAGTGGTTGCAAGACTGGCTTTCTCAGCAATGGTGGTATTTCATGTGTTTACCACATTTCCATCGTCAGTTCAAGCATTTGTGAAGCTGTGGAGTAGAGTGAACCAGCCAGTTTGTCTTTTTCTAAGAGTTCTTCAGTTCATATCAGTTCCCTGAATTCCTTACTCTGGCACAATATAAGGGGCAGCACAGAGGCTGAACAAGGGAGAAGTCAGTGCAAGCTGCTGTCATTAACTCTGTCACCAAGAATAAAGGCCATGAAACAGCAGCATCACAATGCTGCACTTCTAGAAGCTATTATTAAAACAAAGGAGATAAAACTGAACTTGCTTTAAAAATCCTTTGATATAAATTTGAGTTTTGTAAAAAGCAGCAGCTGTAATAGAATTTTGACATGTGTTTAGGGGTATTCATATATATAAAATATATCCATTTACAGACATCTTAAAGTATGCAGCAGAGAAATGTAAAGAAAAAGAAGATACCATTCTACTGGAAATCCAAGCTGACATATTATTTATTTTGTCTGTTCTCTGTGAAAGTGATGTCCACAGAAAGGTATGTATCTTTCTACCTTATACTGTGCAGAAAATGTCAAAACATATTATATTTTCTTTTAAGGAACCCTGCTTTTTTGTGTTTTAATTGAAAAGCAGGTGTCAATTGTAGTTCATTGTTAACAAGTCATGTTTCTTGGCCCAGCTAAAATATAAAAACGCTCAAAAATCCATTAGCAAGTATGAACCTATTTGATTGTTAATTTACATTATTTGAAACTGATATATGAAAGTGTGTTAAGAAATTAATTAATTAGCACTTTAGAAAAACTGATATTTTTTCCTATGTGTGCATCCTGCTCTAACAAGTTTATTACAATATAAATTTATTGTATTGCAATATAAATTTATTACAGTATAAATATTTACATTTCCTGTTTTCCACTGTATTTTCTTACGTGTTTAAATCTAGCAAATATGGCTTAAGAAACATTGCTTTAATTAACAGGAACTCTTCAGCTGTGAAGGAATTGGTATACTCATCCCATTCTTTAAGATGGATCCAAGGAAGTTATGTAGTGGATTAGGCTACAGTTGTCTCCTCCTCAGTGCACTCGACTGCTTATGGTTAGTGAAGTATTTTAGCAGCAGTAACTTGGAAAAATGTTTTAGGTCTGCAATGCTGTGACCTTTTTCTGCACATGTAGGTCTTTCTTCTGTTTATAATGTATAAAATTCTTCATAAAATTTGACTAATTAAAAATTATGCAGAAGAAATGGAATACAGTGCATGTAAGATTTGCTAAATACGGATTCAGTGTAACAACCTCACTTCCCACACAGAATGACCTCCTGACATGCAGAGTTACTCAAGACTTTCTAAGAGAGGCTTATGGTTAGAGTCTGTATGGTTAGAGTAAATAGCTTTAGAGAAGTAAACAGCAGGCACGTGCTAAATACGGATTCAGTGTAACAACCTCACTTCCCACACAGAATGACCTCCTGACATGCAGAGTTACTCAAGACTTTCTAAGAGAGGCTTATGGTTAGAGTCTGTATGGTTAGAGTTAGAGTAAATAACTTTAGAGAAGTAAACAGCAGGCATCAATAGACCAATATTAGCAAAAAACAATGTAAACATAAGAATTGTCTATAAACTGCCTATATAGGGCTAGAAATATTTTAAAGATTGAAGGAAAATAAAAACTTAATTTGTTTTAAGGCAAAAGTTGATAAATACATTTAAAATCAAATATGTTTGCTGGGAACAAATACTGATGCAGGAGATCTCTTTAGTTTCTCTGTTAATGACCATAGCAGAGGAAATAAAGCAATAACAGCAGCATGAATGCTGGCTTTATGATCATTTTAATCTGGGAGAAGCAAACTGTTGCCAAAAAAATATTGCTTGACTCACCCCCTTGTTTTTGCTGGCAGAAATACTCACACAGCCCTACAATAAATGAGATTAGGGACATACCTGGTTACATTTTAAACTCATTTACTGAGTTAGTTTCAGTTCAAATACATACTCCAATTCATTGAGAGCCTGGCAAATTTCTCAGGCTGCTTCAAGGAAGCTGTGCCACCTGCAGAAGAACAAAAAGCAGTCAAGCAAGGTATATTAGTTATAGGCATAAATGAAAAGGCACATGAAACATGATTTTTGTACTCCTTGAAGGTGTGAAGCATATTCATACCAAATGGCATGAAATTCAGAAAAATAAATTAGATGACTGTAGACTGTTCAGAGTCATAAAAGTGTTTCTACATAACAGAAATATTATTTCTGTTTAAGGTCCTGTGTCATTGGATGTTACATTGCAGAGGACTCTTTTATTGAAAGACGGGGCATTTTTCTCCTTCTGGATTTGTTGGCAGTAGGTATTTTTGTAATTGGTTTTGTAGACTGGAAGAGTAGGAAAACAACATGGAACATTGTGTTATTTTTGTTGCAGTATCTCCTAAGACTGGTATAATACAAAAACCCAAACAAACAAACAAAACCAAAAAAAACCACCAAACAAACAAAAAAACCAAGTATATTTATCACCCTGAGAGAGACCCAGCCAACCCAGCCATCTGCTCAGAAATTATTGCATCCAAACAAACAAAACCAAAAAAAACCAAACAGAAAACCCCTGAGAGGGACCCAGCTATCTGCTCAGAAATTATTGCATTGGTTTTCCCTGTATCTTTTTTCTTTTTTTTAATACGTATTTGACAGGGGGAGTTTTTAATTTAACAAAGTTATACTGTTTGAAAAGAAAACCCAAACTACGCTCTTAGTTTGGGTGCCATCTCTCTTTAGAAAAGTACTTCAGTTCTTCATATTGAAGTTATTAAGAGCACTTGATGACTTTAGCAGTATTTATGTTTGAATTTACTTTGTACGTGTATCTCATGTGTATAGCTACTTCTATGGATCTTGGACATAGAGCGGGCGCAGACATTTCACCTCTTACAAAGTAAAAAGACACCTTCCTTGGGTCGTTCATTCCTCATTCACACTGGTTGTGCTGTCAGCCCCTGATGTTCTTGCAGTGCAAGGCTGCAGACCCTCAGAATAACAGAATCATAGAATGGCCTGGGTTGGAAGGGGCCTTAAACATCATCCAGTTCCAACTTCCCTGGCCATGGGCAGGGCCACCTTCCGCTAGATCAGGTTCCTCATAGCCACATCCAGCATGTCCTATCCAGCCTTGAGGGTTGGGACATCCACGGCTTCCCTGGGCAAGCTGTTCCAGTGCCTCATCAGCCTCAAAGGAAGGAATTTTTTCCCAATACTTAATCTAAACTGACCCTCTTTCAGTTTGAAGCCCTTGCCTCCCCTCAGCTGCTGCCAAAAGATCTGGCCACAAAACAGAAGGTGTCCTGTGTGGTACTGCTCAGCGTCTTCCTTCAGAGTTCTGTTTCTTATAGCAATAAACCTTGGTAGCAGTGTATTCTCCAGCATATGATGCTGGAGCCATGTACACAAAATCTACTGTGTGATTCTACACACAGAAATGCATCTTATATGGTCCTGCCCTTGTGTTCACCAAAACACAAGTGTTCCTAGATTTATGGATCTTTATATAGCAGAATTAGAGAAACTTTAAGGATTTACAAAATTACACATTAATTTTGTGCAAATACTAGTAATGAAGATCTTGCAGTTAGTTGATTACATAGTAGACAATTTCTCAAAAAGAAGTCATCACTGTGTTTTGAACAATTTAAAACTTTCTTTACTTTTTCCTTGATAAAGTTAAAGGAAAAGAACCTGTGCAATATAATTCTTGGAATCTTGGTTGAATTATCTGACAACCATGAAACCACTTTGTACATGAACATCTGGCGAGGGAAGAGAGATCAAACAGCAGCTAACCTTTTAATACAGTTATGGAGACAGGAGGAGATGGATTTGGGAGTCAAACGTGATAAATATGGCAAGATTGTTGGTAAGTGTTATGATGCATGTGGAACTGGGAGCAGTCCAGTAAAATAATGACATTATTTGCTTTTGTAGTCTGAATTCTGATGACAGTAAATAACTACAGTTACAGCTTTACACTATAATTCTTACCAAACCTGAAATATCTTCTGTTTCACTTAATTTTTATTTCATTTTATTTATTCATCTGTGGCATTTTCTACATCATCTGGGAATGAACCAAGTATTGAACAGAACCATGAGCAGCTTTTCTAATGCTGGACAGTTAAACTGCTTAATTTCTTACACAAAAGGCATTGTGTTTTGTTCTGTGTTGTAGAAAGAAGTGAGTGCTGTTTTCACAAATCTTTAGTCATGCTAATTAAAATTTTCTGACCCAAATTATGTTCAAACTCTTGACCAAACAATCAAAATTATTTGCATGGTGTCCACAAAGTAAGATAAATTTCCTCTAAGTTTGGGAACATACTACTACTTCATTCTTATACTCTGTTTTTTTGTTTTTATATTAGACACCAAGAGACCTATTGCTACCAGCTTCCAGAAACAGCAAAAGGTCATTCCGGTACCTGCCACCTGTCCCAGTTTTGCCATCATGGAAATTTCAGAGAGCATACGGGCAAAAATTTATTCATTATTTTGCAAGCTAGGTAAGACAAATGAGTTGCCTTGTTAGTGTCATATTTGTCATTAAACTGAACTTAACAATGAAGTCTCTATAAAAAGAACAAAGTCAAAGGAAACATTGTGATTCATCATCAGTACTCTCTAATTAATAGATGCTTGGTCATTACATTTGTTTTCAAAGTCCCTTCTCATTGGGATTTCAAGACTTCCCCACTACTTTGCTGCCCCTACCACCAGGAAGAATTTTCTTAGGACTAAACCTAAAATTTGCTTGAAATTCTCTGTAGTTTATTTTCCTACACACAATATCTCTTTCACATATTTTAGCACTTGTACATTTATTTCTCTAGATTGAGAAAGATATTACTCATTGATTGCATTTTCTAACATAATCTCTAGTTATTCTTGTTTTTTCTGTAGTCTTTCCAATTTAATCAAATTCTTCTTGGTCTGTAGTGAACACAGTACTCCAGCAGCAGCCTCACAGCCAGTTAGACTTATGTTACTCTACACATCTTGTAAATAGACATTCAGACATAAATGTAACAATAGCTGTATTCCTAGTGGCATGATATTCAACTTAGAATGTTGTACAGTTAGAATTTTCTATTTGTCCTTACTGAATTAAATTCCGTGTTTTTAGATTTTCAGAGTGGCAAGATTTGCATATTAATATTTTCTTTCAAAGTGTGGCAGTCCCTCTTAATTTTTCATTGTTTATACATTGAATATGAATACTCATTATACCCTTGTCTTAAAACCTAGACTGAGCTCAAGATAAGTGATAAATTCTTCCACATCCATGAAGTTTTTTTTTTCTGTCTGTATACAAAAGCTGGGTCTTAGTTTTCAGTAATTCATGTTAGATATTAATTTTTTTTCTGTTAACATTTAGCTGCATAAACATTATTTATATAATTATTTGTTTCAGGGGTTTTTTTAGGCTTATTTTTGTTTTCATGTCCATCCTCTACAGGTTCAAAGATAATCAGTGATTGTTCTGAGGTTGCTTCAGCCAGTTCTCTGCTTTACCTAGAAAATGAGCTGGTTTGAAAACATACTTAGCTTCTCTAATAATCTATAGCTACTTGCTCCTCTGTTGTAGGAGCTCCAGACTCTTACTAATTTTAGTAGTGTTAAATATATTAAATGTTGGATCACAGCTAGATTCTTTAATATAATAAAAATGCATAAGATTTTCTTTCAGCTGTCTTCTATATTCACAGATATCCTCCATGTTAGTTACATACATTGTACTGTCTCTTGTGAAGCACTGAAATTATATGAAAGTTGACAATAACATATGGACATATTTTGTAGTCTTTTGTCAGCACCTTTTTTTTTTAAATTAAGTGCCATTATCATTCAGTGTGCAAAAAAAAAAATTAAACATAGTCTCAGCGACCATATTTCTCTACCTTATTCTTTTACACATACTGGGAACATTTTTTAAAGATGGAATCATGATGCTCAAGGTATTATGCTGAAGACAATAATCTACAAGATGGAGGGACACCCTCATTACACAGCTAGTATAATTTTCCTGTTGGTTACTTCACACTTAAAGCAAACTCTTTAAGTGCTGAACTGCTGTTCTAGAAGCTGTGATCAGTAGACTCAACTGTTTGTCTGTTTTAATAAAAATCAAACCCTTACCACATAAGTGTAGCATCCAAATGATTGGAAGGCTGACAGAGCCATTCATAAGTAAAGATTTTAGTACAGAGAGAGTGTATTATAGAGAAACAGGGTTTTTTATCAGCAAAAAATGCTCAGAATCAAAAGTGACTGACTGGTGTATGTATGATGAAGATTTTGCATGTGTTTATTTGACAAATAAGGTTTTTAGAATATGATATTTTAAGATTAAATTCATCATACTGATGTGATTAATATTCTTTTAGGTTTTGAAAATTTGCCTGGCTTATCTGCTAAGGATTTGGTTACGCTTGCTATTATACAACGTTATATTGACTTTAAAGTGAGTATAGTTCAAGCAAATAATACTATTGTACCTGCATTCCCAAAATTAGCAAGTATATCTCAGGACACAACAAACAACCCTTCAAAAGCTGTCCCCTATGTTACAAGTCACCTATAATTTCACATAGTGAAAGCCAGTATTCACCAGCAAAAGAAACAATCCCACCTCCAACATTGCATCAGTCCCCATCTTCTTGCTTCATATTGCTACAAATGTTTGTGACCATGCAGCAAATAAGACTAGAAACTAATGCTGGTTAAAAATAACTCAGAAAAAAATAGAGTAAGATATTGGGGAAGGAGGGGACAATGGGACTGTGTCCTTGCACAGTAAGGTCAGTTTAAGGGGACACTATTAAAAATGACATTAAAACCACATTTTTATAAAGTTTCCTCTGTGCTCTGCTATCTTTGTCCCCATGTGCAGTATCCATCCATCCATCCATCCATCCAACCATCCATCCATCCATCATAAAGTGAAGAATGGTGTGCCTATAGGGACTACAACAGGGCAACAAGCTTTGTGAGAGCTGTCTTGCTCAAAAGATGCTTTAGTTTATGATAGATTTGTGCTTAGGAGCAAAGTCTGTGAGAGCTTGCAGTGTTCGGGAAATAGCAAGACTCAGCCTTTGGTTGATAATTCCAGCTTCTGTTGATGGCTGTGTTGCAGTTTGCTCTAATAATGTCTGAAGTTTGAGATTTTAAGAAGTAGGAAGTAGGACTCAACACTTTGCTCTTGTAAATTGGTAAATTGAAGCTATTCCTTCAGAATTTCTGTAGTTACCAACATTCTTGTTCCCCTCTTTGAATCAAGTTTGGTCTTGGGAAGGCTTAGGGAGGCTTATCATGACTGAATCTGGCATAGTAGTAGTGCAGTCTAACCTTGCATAAAAATTTCAAGAAGTCAAACAAAAATAAGGAGATAGATGGTTGCTGTGTTTTATTTTGAATAATTGGAACTGAAGGATGTGATAAATACTGAATCATATGGTGTATGTTTCACACACAGATTGGAGAGGTTTGGAGTGAAATATCTGCAGAAATAAAAGAAGAATTCAGGCCTGTTACAGCAGATGAGAAAGCCTTAAAACTTATTTCAGAGGTGTCAGAAGATACTGGAAGAATGGTTGTTGCTCTGCAGACTGAAGTGTTGGCAAGAGAACACCACCAGGAAATCCAGGATGAGAAAAAAACTTACAAGAAAGTAAGACAAAGGAGTATTTAAATAAGGAAAGCCCACCTAAGCTTTTTTTCCCATTCATATGCAGATTTTCTTATTATGTAATGTTGAGAATCCTGTACGTGAACACTGCTTGAAAAGTTTACATCTGCCTCAGGAGCCAAATTTTAAATTAAATTAGGTTAACCTCAGTCCTCCAAGCTTCTGTAAATTCCACAATATTAGAGAGCAACATGAAAAAAATGAAGCAGTATCGTCAGTGGTGCATCAGCAATGGGGTAATGAGAAATGATCATTATTTTACTGTTGAGTTGCTCCTGTGTTCATCTGTAGCAGATAACAACACAAAGTACCTATTACCACTACACCTGCTTCTTAAAATGAAATATAAGTCTCTGTTATAAGCTCCCTTACTGAATATTCACAGGCCTTTATTACTTCAGAAAGTATGGCTTTGTGCTTCCCAGCATGCTGAGAATGACAAAATATAGACATTTTGCAGCTTTGGTTATAAGGCAAGCATTTCATGGTTTTGCTCATCTGTTGTCTCACCCTCTCATGCTTTCTGAGAAATAAGATCAGAAATCTCATGCTAGTGTTTTTGAGGGATAGTCTTGCATTATGATGACAGCACTTTTGTCACCTGAACCAATTCTATCTCTTTTATTCAGCATTTGAGAGTAAGAATATACAGAAAGTATTCCTGAAAGGGCTGGGCCTCATCCAGCATACATGTTGGGAGAGGAAAATTAGTTTGCACAAAAGCCTCTTTGTTTATAAGGGCAGTGCATAAGTGCAGTTTTCAAAGGGCAAGTACTTTACAACATTATTTTCCAATCTCAGGTGAGAGGGATGAGCTAAGGTAGCCAAAGGGGCAGAGGTGAACATTCTTTTCATATGGCACAAGCAATTAAATCAGAAGAGATTTGATACCAGCATTGTGCTGCATGCTGTAAATCTCATTTCTATTACAGATCCAAGCTACCAGTATGCAGAGAGAACTGACAAATAAATCTTGGGAAAATGTCTTGGCTCGGACATCAAACTATGAGGCATTGAAGGTAAGAAACCTGATGGAGCAAAAAAACTTACAATCGTGATGTTGTCATAATAATTGTGAAGTTCCAAACACATTTCTTAATGAATTATAGGGATATTCAAGTAGAAGTGATAGTAAATTTTATATTCACACAGACATAGAAGAAGTAACCATAAGATGTATTGGAAAAGTTACACAATCTTTGATTCTTTTGAGTACAATCACAAATTGGGGATCAACATTGTCACTTGAAATTGAGGAGTAGGTGTATATATGTGTATTTCTTCTAAAACTGTTGAAACTATGAGTCTGTTCGTTCTTACTTTATTTTTTCTAATTCTGTTCTCTTTTTTTAGTGCAGCAAACATCTTTCAAGATGGGAAATATTTTGTGATGAAAGGAGTTTCTTCTAGCAATATTTCCTTTCCCAAAACAACATAAAAATATTACAGTACTGGTTTTCCAACCAGACTAAGTTGGAAAATTAATGAAATCAGACTTAGAAGAAAAAGTTTGGCAGCTAAATTTAATTTTTCTTCATTTCCCAAAGGACTTGCAAAGGAGAACAATTTTCTTTCTATGCAGGCATCTCCCTGGCTTGTGGGAAGATGTATGCTAGAATTAGAAGTGAAAAAGGGACAGAAGAACTACAGACTCATTAGTTTTAACTGAGTCGCTGGGAAGCAGTTTTAGGCACAGGAGGAGGAAGGAGATTGGTATAGACTGTCATGAATTTACCAAGGACAAATCATGCTTTGCCACCATAGTTGCCTTCTGTGATAAAATTATTTGTTCTAGAAAAAGAGGAAGGGGGATGCCTATTCCCTTGGCGATTACATACAGCTCGACTACAAGCTGTGGGAAAAACTGGCTGGACTGATGGGCTCTAAAGGACAGTGGCCAGTGACTGAAGTTTAACTAGTGGTCAGTTTTGAGTGATATTTCTCTGAGTTAATTATTGGGTTGATAATATAGTGTTGATTTAATTTTTCCATCAGTGACTTGGATATTGAATTAGTATCCATCCTCATCAAGTTCGAAATGTGAATGCCCCATCCCATGAAATGTTAAAGGCCAGGTTGTATGAGGCTCTGAGCAACCTGGTCTGATGTCCCTGCCCATGGCATGGGAGTTGGAACTAGATAAACTTTAAGGTCCTTTCCAACCCAAATCATTCTGTGGTTCTGGAGTTCTGTGACACGGAGCTGGAGGAAGCAATCCATATGCTGGGAAGGTGGGGTTGCTATTCAGAAGATGGATGGATGGGCTGATCAAAAGCTCATGAATTTCAGGAAATGAAAATGTGACGTCATTCACCTGGGATATATTGAGATTGTGTTGAGATGCCTCAGTACAGCTGGGTCTGCCTGGAGAGGTGGCTGTGTGCTCTGTGGGGTGAAAGCTGACTGTGAGGCAGCAGTGTGCTCTTGTGGCCATGAAGGCTCACAGCACCAAGGGCTGCATTGCACACAGCACAGCCCACACGTCAAGCAAGCAGGGATTCCCTTCCCACCCTTGCAGTGTCACGCCAATTTATTCTGGTTTTGGGTGTTCAATACAAGAAGAGTCAAAAAACAGGGGGAGGTTACTTACAGTTAAAGGCAAATAGAATTATAACCTGATTTATTTTGTCATGTTGTTTGTATATTTTCAAATGAGTGCAAATGACACAATTAACGTAGATTAAAACAATTTTACCTTTTTTTTCTGACTATCTTTAGAAAGCAAAAAGGCTTCAGCACACATTAAGAGAGGCTTCCAAATGTGAGGCAAACATTCAAAATGTACCATACCATTCTATTGATATTCCAAAACTCCATGTAACAGTAAGTAATCCTTAACAACACTGTTTTATTTTCACTAAAACGTAAGTGGTATGGGGTTTATTCTCGCTGTATACATGCTGCTGCTTACACTTTCTTTAATAATGTTTATGTTGACAAGCTCCAAGTATGTAAGAAAGAGTCTGTATCTTTTGCAAATTGCCATTACCTGTTCTGACATAGCCTTAGACAAGCACTTGGTCAGAATGAGATTCAGATCTGTGGATTACTCTGAAAAAGTGTGGGTAAGATGGGCCCTGTGCTATGTGACATTTACCTGTCGTGAGACAGCCATCCATGAAAACCTTGCTGAGGTCAAGACCTGCTCCTTTGAGTACATCTGGGCAATCTTTGATACGTCCATTGAGGTGTCCTTTATCAGTAGCATGTCCCTGACTGCCTGCAGATACACCACTTGTTGCATCTTCAGAAACCATTTTGTTCTCATTTCTATCAGTTAATTGAAGTGTGAGAAAATAAAAAGCCTTTGTTAAGATCTAATTCACGCCTAACAGCATATTTAGATGTTGAGTTTTGACAAAACATGAGAGAATCTTCAGTCTAGCCAATAAACTGTTTTTGAGCTAACTGGATTATTTCTGTGTAAGCATCACAGCTGAGGAGGATTTAAGGGGGATAGTTTATTTGTTGCTTGTAAGTTACTCTCACATGTGAGTAAAAATGAGAAAGAATAAACATGAGCTGCTGTTTTCAAACTTGTATGAAGACAAGAGATTCTATTTTGGGCACTCTGGAATGAACAGAGCAGCACAACTTAGCACAACTAAGGTGGCTGCAAATTGAAAAAGGAAAGAGGAAGTTCATGTTGGATGTGATGGAGAAGCAAGGAAGCTAATAGGAAGCAAGAGGATTGTATCAGAGTGCTGGACTAGGATTTTTCCCACATTATCTTAAACATCAGAAAGATATGGAGGGACACATCTAGGAATGCAAGATGAAGTAGGCTGGAACAATTCTTTAGGTACTTGCGTAAACAAAAGTGAGACTGTTACACAGCAATATTTTGCAGAAAGTATCTGAAAAATTTTGATATAAGCATGAGTAATCTGGAAATTGTTAGTGGAGAGAAATATATTGTCAGATTTTATTTTAAAGGCTTGAACTTCAAGCTATGAATGTTCATATCTGAGAGGGAGAGGATTTAACAAGAAAATTACCTTCATAGTTCTACAATCAATATTTCAATAACTGTAGATAAAAACAAGGAAGGAAAAGGTTAGTCCATTTTGCAGAATAGGTGTATTGAGAAAACAAATGCATCAGCAATATCATGTAACATTCCTCAGGTACTTTGCTTAGGAGAATTACAAATGACAGACATGGCTGGAAAATTTTTTAATGCAACAATCTGCCAAACACCCTCAGCAGGGAGAGATGAAGATGGTTGTTGCAAACCAGTCAACTGACCTTTGCAAAGGTCAGCTAATCAAATGTGAGCTACATGCATGCAAGGAGTTGCATTTTTTTTTTTTAGTGGTCATGATTAGAAGACAGAGCTGTCACTCAGGGGTATTTATTCCAAGACCCCAACCTATTCAGTACAAAGAGTAATAATGAATCTGGAAAGGGTGTGTGTCTTTCAGTCTTGGAATTTCCTGGAGCAGTAGTTCTATGCAATTGCATTTTGAGAGAAAGAGGGCCTGTTCTTTTTTTTTTTTTTTCCTTATTTGGAGTAATAAATAATAATGTGTAGTGAAATTCTGAGGTCAGAGACTGTGGCTGACATCCTATACAAATCCAAATTGTACAGCATTGTAACATTGTACAGCAAACTTCTATAGGATAAAGGCTTGAATTTCTTTTTTGCAATTAATAAATCATAACACAAAGGCAGAAAAGCAGAGCATGTAAAAGTACTCACTGAAAAAACACTCTCTCCTTCTGTATTGATGGAAACAAACTGTGAATTTAGTATAAAGGATAGTTTTAGTTGCTTTCAGAAACCTCAGCAGGTATCTCCACTAACTGAATAATATTTTTTAAAGGCAGTTCATGATTTAACTGTCCTCTCATTTTAAATGCTAGCATGAGAGTCAAGCAATGTATTTATTTTGTATTTCAGGTCGGACCTGGTCGCTTTGTAACTATGCAAAGTACGCCTCATCAGCAAGGGCCACTGCCTGATACAGACCATGCTCCTAGAAAGTCCTCTGTTTGTAAGGGAGCCTTAAAAAATGATCAGAAGAGGTAAAACATTGGACTCCGTCAAGAAAAAATCAGTACCTGTAGAATAGATACTGTACCAAAGAGTGATATATTAATATGTAGTTACCTATAAGTAGATACAAGATAAAATCTGGTTTTAATGACTTGAAAAATTGCTCAGAACATCAAAAGAGTAAATTTATATTTTCCCTTAATTAATATAATCTGGGAATGTTTTATTAATAAAGTCCCCTGTACAGTATGGCACAAAGGTATGTTAGTCTGGGACTTTGTATGCTAATATCCACTGTCAGCAGATCCACTGTTTTCATTTGCATCTCTTCCTTACACATTCCATACACTGCAGTTTAAGCCTCTCATTGAACAGGGGGATAAATCTTCACATAAACACATTTGATTCTTCATTTTCCTGAATACCATACCCACATAGTTGTTGTCCAAGCCCATTTTGTTTCTTGAATTGTCGCTTTTAGCATCAGGACTTCTGACATCCCAGTTTTCATTGAAACACTCACTAAGGAGCTTGTTTGTGCCAGCAGTTTCTCCCAGCCTTTTGGAATAACCTTCTCCATTTGGGTTGCTCCCAGCTCTTTAACTGATCTTACTAATCTAACAATTGTTGGGCTCTTATTCCCACTGTCTCCAAAAAGAACTTATCTTCTTTCATCTTGGCACCTCTAGAATGCCTACACAAACTGGTGAGCAGCAGACCTTTGTGCAGATGACTCAATTTCTGAGCTATTTTCTATTTCGGGCAATGCCAGAATTCACTATGTTACAATAGCACAAGACTCCCTGAGGCGCTTCATTTTAAAACCAGTTGCTGTCCAGTGCTGTGGCACAAATTTCTGTGACATTGCAAGCTTTTATGATGTGACGTCCAAACTGGCACTTAGTTTGTCTTTTTTGCCTTGAGAAAAGTACAAAGTTTTGCTTTTTTAACTCCCTGCTTGAAATAAAGGCAATAAATTTGAGCTAAACATACTCCAACTCACTTTTTTTTTACTTCATGAAAGAGGAATGGGATAGGTGTGTGTATAAGTGTATCTTAAAAATGTTTTTCACATAACAAGACAAGTGACAAGAAGTGGTGGCATTAAAAATAAAGGCATAGTTTTGTTTCAGAATTGACTACCTAAATTCTATAAAAAGAAGAACCCTGAGAAAATAATGAAATAAAATAAATCATACATATGAAAAAAAAGATATTTGAGGTTTAGAAAAATCTCTGTATATGCATTTTCCAAAAATGGAAAGGATTTTTCTTATGGGCAGGTCTGTTACACCCTAATTGAGTAAGAAAGTCATCACATTGTAGAGTAGAAACGTCATCTGGTACTTAAAGATAGAGAAGTTAAATTGAGTTGTGCTAATTTAATTTAACTTTTCATGGTGACCCTTTGGTGACTGATAATTTTTAACTATAATATAATTCAATGATGACATTTTCCCAAGACTATCTGTATAAAATTTGTTTTATTAAACTAGCCTATTTGTATTTCTTGCCTGCCTACAAGAAAGATTAGCCAAGGTATATAAAGATTCTCTAACTGAAGTCTTATGTCAAGTAGTCTTGCTCAGTTTTTTATGTTTATATTTGTCTGACAGCTCTGCAGAAACCTTGCTGCTTTATTACTTGTTTAGAGAATGTATGGTCTGTTGCCTTTTTACAATTAAAACCAAATTATACATATTTTGCTAGGAGACCAAAGGCTGTGACTTTTGGAGAGGTTTTTACATGCTTTTTTACATGCATATATGGGAATGTGTAGATGACTCATTATTACGGGACATCAAGGCAAAGGCCCATTATAAAAAATGTGGAGGACTTACATAAGTCCTTCCAATTTCTGAGCAAAAACTACAGTAATATACTGTAGCCAGGGTATGGATAAAGAACCATTAACTGGAAATCAGTTTTGCTTTTGCAAAAACTTTGTATCAGTCACAAAGTGAGCCCCATGACATTTTCCCACAACTGTGTTGTTTCTGCTGCAGACACCCTGACTGCAAATGAGCAGCTGCAAATGCAAATGCTGTTGGTAATTAAGCATTAATGTTAATTAATAATGACTGGAAAATGAAGGGGACAGAATTTCCCCAAATAGTTACATTTATCCTTCATAAATCAGTACCAACACAGGCAGCACAGCAGCACAAACAGCATTTGATTTTGCCAGGCAGCCATGGACCATAGTTTGGCTGTTGCAGGGGAGAACAGTCAACATCCAGGAAGCTGGGATTGCTGTCCCTGCTGTAACCCAGGGATGGAAAAAGAAGGGGGAGTGGTGGAAGAAAAAATAATGCCATTCACTGTTAATCCCTCATGCTGACATGCCAGTAGTCAGCTGTGGCTTTCCACAGCTCTCATAGATATGGGCATATGGGCATATAGCAGACTGGAAAATGAAGGGGACAGAATTTCCCCAAATAGTTACATTTATCCTTCATAAATCAGTACCAACACAGGCAGCACAGCAGCACAAACAGCATTTGATTTTGCCAGACAGCCATGGACCATAGTTTGGCTGTTGCAGGGGAGAACAGTCAACATCCAGGAAGCTGGGATTGCTGTCCCTGCTGTAACCCAGGGATGGAAAAAGAAGGGGGAGTGGTGGAAGAAAAAATAATGCCATTCACTGTTAATCCCTCATGCTGACATGCCAGTAGTCAGCTGTGGCTTTCCACAGCTCTCATAGATGGGCACCATAGCTTGTCCACCTGGAATTTGTTTTGCTGCTGCTGCTGTGACCTGGGGTTCATAATCCCCTGCTCCTTTGGCAGAGTGACTATAGCAATTGATTGTTCAGTTTTGCTGCTGCTGCTGTGACCTGGGGTTCATAATCCCCTGCTCCTTTGGCAGACACCACAGAGTGACCATAGCAATTGATTGTTCAAACATTCTGGAAACAATTATGGTGGATGCTAAGCACTTTTGTGTCTTATAAAAAACTAATTAAAACAGACTTAGTGCCTGAAGAAGAATGAAGCTTTTAAAACTGCATAGGATACCTTGCTCTGGCATTCAATTAAAAGACCACTAATAGAGGAAACAATCCCTTTAAAATGTTGTTATACTTTAACACTTCTGTAGGTGATCAGTGTAGGCTAACAAAGGGCATTTTTTATATTGTTTATGCCAGTTAAAACTTCTGTTGTAAATGCAATGCAGTACACAGCTTTATAAACTGGATACTGCTGGGGCAGGTTAGATAATTGCTCTCAAACTGCTCCTCATCATAATGTATCAATTCCTGAAGTTGCTGTGTTTGGGTGTGTAATAACTCCATTTGCTCAAAAATGTTATTTATATCAGAAACTTAAAGTGATGTTCATGGGTCAGAATAATCTTCACTACTTTTGTACCCTCTCCAGAATACTGTAGCAGATATATTTTAGAAGATGCAGTTCAATATTGTGTTTACCTAAATGAACATTTGCAAATCTATCAGACTTGATGGATATTTTACAAACTATATATGAGCTAAGCATCCCATATGTGGGATGGATTTCTTTTTCCTTATGTAGGTTTATATGCTATTAAAACATGAGTACTATATCCTAAAATAATTTAAACTACCTGTAATCTCATAAAAGGCTAAAACACAACAGGGACTGAACAAGATGCATTGCCCAAGGAGTAAAGCAGAGAATGGTAAGCATTTCTCAGGTTTTTATATGCTCAGAAGAATTGGATTAAGTAGGCAGTTAATCTCCTTGAATTATTTTATCTGTGGCCAGTGGTTTGTACTGCAAGCAGCAGTCAAGTCAGCCTGTCCCTGTTTTGAACCACTTGGTGCTGGGTCCCGTCTCAGCTGCGACGTTGCTGCGATGACAGGGATGGACTGCATCACCTTATTTACAATCTTGTGTAAAGCATGGCACGTAGTAGTGGCTTATTAAATAACATGTTAATGGACAAGAAAACTACCGCTATTCAGACCTTGCTGCTTAGAAAAATATTTTAATTAATCCATAGCTTAGACTAAGCAATGATAAAATACAAAGTCTAGACTGCACAGGACATTACAATGAGCATAATCCTTCCCTTTAACTTAATGTCTCACCTCTTCCTTTTTTTTTTTCCAGTTCTTAATGTTAATAATATGTGCAAGACAATGTATAAAATAAATTTGTTCACATATTCTCTGTTGAATAATGTATAAAAATACTTCGGGTTTCCATCAAAATTAACTTTTAAAAAGAGAATTATTGGAAAATACAAGACTCTGCAAAAATATGACACATCCAGACTTTAAAGTTTATATGGGAAAACAAAGGTGTTGACTCAGAACACATTCACACATGGAGGGAGGAAAAGGCAAGCTTAGTAGACTGCAAGACAGGAAAGCAAAAGGGATAGTGTGGGAGTTCATGTACTTATAAGTTTAGGAGTGATTAAGTACTTTATACAAAAAGAAAAGAAAACAAAGAGGGTTGCACCATGCCAAAGGATTTGTCCAAACATCTACAATACATATTGTACTCCTTTGTACTCCTTCATTTTGATGTTGCCTTTTTTAAGGATCTTCATTTTCTCCCCTTTTGGCCTAAAATGGATTGGTGAAAGCAGACCCTGCAAGATTAAGAAAAACAGGTAGTTATTGTCCAAGCAATATGTTAGAAATGTGTGATTAAATAATCTGCATGTTCATTCCAAGAACCTGAATCATCTGACCAGGTACATCAGAAAAAAGCCTATTGCTGAGGAGGAACGGGGGCAGGAGATCTAGGACTGATTAGTAAGATGTAAAGTCACCTGCATGATCTCAGTTCAGACTCAAACCCGATCATCATGACCTGAACCTGTAACTGTTCAGTGATTCACAGTGACCTTGACATCACATTATATGTCAGTAGTTTTACTAGGAAAAATAGGGCTCAAACTATCAGGGATTTGAGCTTCCCTTCTGCAGAACGATGATTTCCCAAAGCTGAGACTGAACTCCTAATACCAGGAAACTTTCAGTATTATAATTACTTGTCAATGTATTATCATTTATATAACACAGTGATAAACAGAGAATGCAGCATCCATTTCCACACACTTCCACATGCATACTCTGTATTTTTTACACTTTGTTAAAAATAGAAATGTGGTACTCTAACTACCCATATCTCATGTATTGTGAAAGTAGCTACCATTGGAAGATGCAATCACTTTTGACAAGTAGAGACAGAAAATTGAAAATTAGTATATTGAGTTGTCTAAACAATGAAGGGTGAGGATGGAGCATTGGTTCAGTTTAATATTAGTACCATATCCTATAACTATAGTTACCTTCTAAAGTTCTGTGTGAGTACGTGGAAGAATATTTGGGAGATGTTAATTGTCTTCTGCCCATTCCATGGGATCTTGAGAGCACACAGTCTACATACATATCCCAGAAGTTCTGGGCTAAATCATTGAAGAGTTCATTGTGCTTGGGCTTAGGGGATTCCTTTAGGAACATCATGAAGTCCCAGAGAGCAATGACTGTATCTGCCACCTTGAGTTTCTTCATTTCCACCAGCCCATGGGACGATACCTCCCAGCACTGATGGTCAATCTCACGCAGGCTTGGAGGAGTTTCTTTTTGATACTCTAGATTGGCATAAACCAAATTCACTAATAACATACAGCCCAGCTGAAGATACCACCATCGTTTCCATACAAATTCCATACTTGAAGAAGATACCTGGAAAGAAGTGAATAAAATCACAGTGATTCTGACATTATATAGTTCATTGTCACATAACTCTCATGGGTATCCCAAGAGATAATTTAGACATATATTCAGAAAAATCCTTTTTTTCCAAACTGTGGAATAAATACCAGTCAATGAACCCTAATGCTGGAAGCTAGGCTTGCACCTAGAAATTGTTAATGCCATTTAGAATGTGAAAACCCAAAGCAAAAAGTTTGAAGTGACCATAGCCAATGTCAGAACTGCTCCTTGAGACCAGCACTCCTTCCCTTCATCTCCTGTGCTTGGATTGTCAGTAAAATCAGGTTAATATCAGATGCTTGAAGAGTCCTAGTGGTATGCTATTTTAAGTTACTGCAAACAAATAACAATTATAAACAGCCAGTCTTTCATGGAAAGTCTGACTCAGAAAGATGGTAATGAAGGAATGGTAAATCAGACTGTACAGTGTATTGGGTGAATGTAGGCATGTTATGAACTCATTCAGCAGCTGTTGCTTCCAAGAATGGAAGAGGGGAAATTCCTTTCTGGCTTATATTAGAAAATTAAGTAAGATTTTGGCATTATTTGGCATTATTATTTCTAGTATATATGGAAAACAGAGAAATTATCTGGAGAATTGGAGATGGAAAGAGGAATAAAAGAGGAGGCATAATAAGAACTTCAAATGCTACAGAATATGTGTCCTTTACTATACAGAGATTCCCCCTGGGAAAAATGCAATCTTCCTATGATGTGTATTCCATATCCTTAAATCAAGTTTAGACAGAACAGCACTAAAACACCTGATATTTTTTTATTAGCCCTTTCTATCAAGATAAAGTGCAGAGGAACAGGAGAATAAACATAAAAAGGAAACCAATCAAACAAAAAAGACAAACATAGGAAGAAGTCTGAAGAAAAAGAAGACAGTCAAAACTTTCAGACAGTGCCCCTTATTTTGGTATCCTAAATCAATTGCATTTTAAGTAGTTCATGCCATGTTTATTCCCACAGTTTCCAATTTGGAGTGTAAAATACAATTATGAAAATGATGTGAGGTTTTGTACAGAAAAAAGGCAACATTTTGAGTAGCTGTGCAAATTTTACTGGGAATTTGGCCAGAATTGCAAGTGTGCTCTTCCACTCAAAATATCACTGTCAATATTAAAAGTAAGTCTGTGATATCTTCAAAGTGCTAACACACTGACATCTTTTCTGCAACTCCTAGTGATACAATTAAAGAGAGAATAATCCATAGATCATACAACACTTATGTGGAATATCTGTAAGAATACAGAGTTGGAGTGACACCATGGAGTTCACAATCACACCAAAGTGGGTCAGGAACCAGGACAGCTTGAAATAGGCCTTTTTGCTGTGGCCTGAGGGTCCTGCAATGGTTTTTAGTTTGAATGTGTAATCACACTGCTGCAGCCACCTGAGGTCCCTAGTCAGGTATTCTTTACTTCAGCTTCAGAACCCAAGGAACTGAGCCAGACAGATACCCTCCAACCTAGCTCCTTCCTAAAAGCCTGGGCCAGCTACCTGGGATGATTTGAGTGTGTAATCACACTGCTGCAGCCACCTGAGGTCCCTAGTCAGGTATTCCTTTACTTCAGCTTCAGAACCCAAGAAACTGAGCCAGACAGATACCATCCAACCTAGTTCCTTCCTAAAAGCCTGGGCCAGCTGCATTTCAGCAAGCAGCAGGATTACCTGCCTCAGCATCCTGAGAGTTTATCAGCATGCATTAGTTTGCTTCTTTGGGTTCTTAGAAAACTGGTTCCAGCAAACAAGTAGGGATGGAAATGCTTCTCTTCTCACTTCCACTTCACTGGGCACTAGTATTCAGAGGAAGGACACACTGGCAATTTCCTACAAAGTAGGAAAACGGCAGCTGGGAAACAACCAACATTTTGAGTTGTTCTGATTTCATGTTTTAATCCAGCTAAAAACTGAAAAGCTAAAGGCCCATTTGAACAGCACAAACAAGAGCAGAGACCACTTTGAACTAGTAGCTCCCATTATTCAGTATGAGAAAGGAATTTCACAAAGGCAGTAACTAAAGAGCCACAACAGAAGTTGTACTTACAGTATTTAAGCGAGGAGACGGAAAACAGTAGCCTTGAAAAACAGAAGTCAGCCACTTGGAGATAAAGAAAGACATTCATGAGAGGGCTGCAAGTGCCTGGCAGCTGCTGGATGCTCCGAGGATGCCGAGGTTACAGTGCACAGGGAGGACTCTGCCACTGGCAAAGCAGCAGCAGCAGCAGCTGAACTCGGGTCTGGGGAAGGGTGGAGGGAGCTGTGGCAGCCCCACCTCTCTCTGCAGCAGCGCCCAGTGTCAGCCCGGGCTGGGCTGGGGCCTCACCTGCAGAGACTGCCTTCAGGGTGGGGGTGTCTCGGGTGAGGCAAGAGGAGGGGCAGAGGGCTGGCAGAGGGAGGAAAACATAATGGATTGCAAATCTTTCCCCTAATCAGGAACATGAACACTCTCATTTAATAAACTCCCATTCATAAACCTAGGTTTCCATGCATGTTCCTGTTTGTCCACCAGAACATGCAGAGACAATGTTCAAAGTAATGAAAAAGAACAAATAGGTTGTAAAATTTGTCTGTTAAGATTTCACAACATGATTTGGTGGAGTTCAACATGACAGGAACATTCAGTTTTTTCAAACAGCAATTCAGTGATTTCTGTCAAAAACCAATACATACAATGCTTAAGCACAAATGCAAATCTGCTCTGAAATGACAGTGTTCACAGTAATTTTGTATCTTCTGGAAGCCTTACCAGCTAAACTATGTCAAGACTGTTTCAAAATCTTGCTTCAAAAAGTATGTCATGTTTGAACCTACACAACTAAATAGAAGGAAATATCTGGAAGACTGGAATATAGTTAGCTTATCTCTGAACTCATTGTATCATTGAAAGGAGCTAAAGCTCTATTAGATGTAATTATTCCTTGAAATTCTAAGGCAGTTTTCATAAAAAAGAAATTAAAGCATTAGAAAGACTTCACAAGGAACCTACCTTTAAGCGAGCTCCCTTGTATCACTAAAAAAACAGCATTCAGTAAGTTTTCAAGTTAAGAATAGTTCCCTTTTTGTTTGCTTTATGCACTATCACATTAATTAGCATTGTCAATCTCACAGTGAAACTGTCAAAATTGTAAAGGCATTAAAGGCATGTAAAGAGGTGGATTGTTCTATAGCTCTTTGACTGTGGCATCAATCCCTTCTCATTTCATTGCCACTTAAACATCTAGGTGTAGTAGCACAAGCTAGTGGTGCAAACAGTGATTTCCTTCTACTCCAACAGCCACTGAAGGCAGCCTTTCATCATATTTCTTCATCCTACAGATTCATTTTTATCACTCTCCTATTGCTTTTCCTTTTTCTAGTTAAATCCACCATTTTTAGTCTTAAAACAAGGTACTTGCAGAACACACTTATAGAAATCAAAGTGCTGAGGAATAGATTTTTGTTGGGAAAATATTTTCAAATAAAAATACCTCTTTTTTAAATGCCACCTTTTCAGCAATGTTCTCTAAGGAATCTTCATGAAGATTCATTGATAATATCTTAAAAAAAATCACATCTCTAAGTGAAAAAGGTTCTGAAGGCTGACTTCTATATTTTATTTTCCTTTCTGATGTTATCCACTTTGTCAGTGATGCACTGAGGGATCATCGCCTGTGGGGGAATGCCACCTGGAACAAGGATGAACCCATTAATACAAGTTAGCAGAGATCAAAATTTTTGGTAACTAATAATCCTGTGAAATGCTACATGAAGTTCGTAGGATGGAAGCATTATGAAGACAGTGACTGATCATGTTTGTTAAGCTAGTCACTTAAATTTCTATTTCAGAAAAAGAAAAGTCAAGGAAAGTCAAGAAAAATCAATCTGTGACCACCTTTGTAATATCTAACATACCTGAAAGCTGCATAAAAGCTTGGATTGAAGGGGAAATCCTTAAAGCAGAGAACCTATCCATTTACTTTGGAAAGATTTTTTTTGAGATAATGACTAAATATAAATGGGATTTAGAGAAAAGTTGTGTTGTGTTCTGAATTCTGCAGGGCTTCCAAAAGAATTCCAAAGCTGCAGCATACAGCATACATATAAACCCAAGGACACCAGCACAGCTGCTTGACACTGAGTTTTATTAGATGGCTCATATGGCTTATAGTAAGAGTATCTATTTCTGTGATTTTTAATTTTTAGCTGATAGCTGAATCTGGGCAAAATAAAACATTTCCTTCAAAATTCTTCCAGCATTGATACCTTTCCATGGCATGTGTTTTAAACTGTTGTACTTCCTTCTGTTATGGTAGCTAAGGTGCTTCCATCTAGTGGGACTTTATGGTATTGAAGAGTGTACCCTTGCTATTGGATAAATCTCTATTATTTTTTCCCATAAAACTGTAAAATTAATACATCAATATTTTACAATATTTGGACCTTGGGTATGTTGGTGAAGTTATTTCTCTCAATTACTAAGACCATTATGCAAACTTACCAGCTGTTTGCACGTTCAGAAAGGCAAGGAAAGAAAAACTGACTTTCATTTTTTGATTATTTCAACTCTATGTTAAATAAAGCTATATTGCTAAAATATTTCAGCATAATTTCTACATATTTCCATCGAAGTTATTTCTTTTCTAGACTGAGAAGAAGACCACATAAAGCACAAATTTCAAAAAAACTGCTGGTGGAAGTTTTAAAATTGTTGGGGGAAGAGATTTTATGGCTTATTCTTGTTAGAGCTGATGAAGTACACTACTTAGTAATTTATACCATGAGAGAAAAGAAACAGGGGTAAAACTGTGATTTGAGGTAGCTGTAGCCTTGTGATTTTCAAGCAGTCATATACAAATACGTGAAGTACACAGTAAGAACAAAAGAGCAGGAACTGAAGCATTACTTATCATGAAACTCAGAATATGCATTGACTATGTATAAGTTGGTTTGGAAAGCTTTAAAATGCTTCCAGCCTTTTGTGACTGATTTATATATATCTCTGTGACACAGGCACACTTGTTCGTAAACAGGATTGATTCACTGAGGATAAAGAATTGAGTCACCCTCTGCATCACTGATTAGCAGCTTCTGAAGTAAAAAAATGACAGAGTGATACTCTGCCATCAGGCTTGACAATGAAGTGCTCACAGCCCTGTTACTGAAAATCAAGTATGACACACCCAATGCAAGCAGGAGAGAAAGGTGATAGAAGCAGTCCTGCCCTGGCAAACAGAGTCTCTTCAGGAGACCAGACACATTTTTGAACTCAGGTATTTGGACAATGAAACATCTAAATGTCCTCAAACTTCAGTGTTAAATTATTATCTATTTCAGTAATTCTTAGCATCATGTATGTGTGACGAGTCACTTAATGTTATTAAAGGATCTAGAAAATGCATAATGCCACATTTCAAATAAAATGTTGCTTAATTCCCTGCTGGCATGAGCTTGTTGGCATAAACTTGCTCCCTGTTGAAACAAATCTAGTGTTATGTCAAAAAATTCAATACCTTCAACTCATAACATATAGAAGACCAGCTTTTCTCTATTTGTTTTTTGAGGTCAAGTTGTGGACTGATTACATGACATCAGTGAACACTGGTTAGTAGCTCTGCTGGCACCTCTGGGCCAGTCCACACATTAACATATTAACACATTAACTGCTGCACTTTAAGGAAGTGCAGCACACTGAATTTAAGGCTCTGCTAAGCGGACCAGCTTCAGACCAGGCTGCTTTTAACAGTTGTAAGGACTAAATTCAAACACTATGTACCACAAAAGCATAACACAGCACAAAACCAGGGTGTAATTTGATACATACTTGTGCTGGTATCCAAGGAGGGTTCTGGGCCTGTGACTTGATCCTTGAAGAACTATCTACAACTTACCTAGGCTTTTTTCATCTCACTTAAAATTTCTTTTGCTTATTTCCTTCTTTCTGTTCCTTTCTATAGAATGCTGACATCATATGCTTTACTGAAGTCACAGTAACACAATCTAACTGTTGCATTCATAAGGACTTCTGAACCTTGTCTACTATTCAGAAAAAACTGACAGGTTGTTCCCATATTATTAATCACAAATCTGGACAAAATGTTCTGCTGTTTGTACTATGAATTGGCATGGTAACACAGAACAGGAAGATCCTCCTGAATGACAGGGATTAGTTCCCTGCCACTACAAAAAAACCTTTGTTGTACAATCACTTCATATATTTATCAAGTGCCATATTAAAAATAGAAATATTTTTGTTCCCACTAATTCCACGGAAAAGCAGTTTCATTAGTCAATTGCAGTAATTACTAGAAACATTATTCTGGTTTCCTGATATATTTATTACTGAATAGTACATATCTGTTTGTTCTTGTGTCTTCCCCCTTTATTTAAATGCTTTTTATCCTTCATGTTTATTTTCTGATATATTAATAGATACCACTTGTGTCTCCTCTCTGGTTTTGTATTATTGCAGTAAACAAGCTGAGCCATCCTAAGATCTGTTCTTTTGAAAGGCTCTCAAGGTCTCTGGTGATGAACCCAACTTCCCTCTAGCCCTCTCTTAGTTCATCATTAGCTCAGCTGTAGAACAATTGATTTGGTTTTCAGTACCCCAAATGAGATTTTACCAGGGTGTTACACAATGACCTTAATACCTCCCTACATTAAATGAAATCCATCTCCTGAGATACTTCTTGTGGTAGTTTAATCCCAGCCAGAAACTAAGCACCGTGCAGCTGCTCCCTCACTCCCTCACTAGCAGGATGGGGGAAAGAATTGGAAGTGCAAAAGTGAGAAAACTTGTGGAAGCTGTGCAGCAAACCAAGCAAAACAAGGAATTCATTCACAAATTCCCTTGGGCAGGCTGGTGTTCAGCCATCTCCAGAAAAGCAGGGCCCTGTCACACGTAACAGTGACTTGGGAAGACAAACACCATGACTTTGAACTGTTCTCCCTTCTTCTTTCCCTGGCCTTTTTTACTGATTATGATGCCACATGGTATAGGATATGCTTTGGTCAGCTGGGGCCAGCTGTCCTGGCTGTGTCCCTTCCCAGTTTCCCATAAACTCACAGCCCACTTACTGATGGAGTGGGGTGAGGAGTAGAAAAGGTCTTGGCTCCATGCAAGCCCTGCTCAGCAATAACTAAAAAATTCCCTGCATTATCAACACTCTTCCTAGCACAAATCCAAACCATAGCCCCATTTGAGTCACTGTGAAAAAAATTAACTCCATCCCAACCAAAAGCAGCACATTTATGGTGATTCTTAAGTATATCTAATTTCCAAATTTCATGAGCATACTCTTACTGATTTTATCAGGACTACTACAAAAAATATCAAATAAGACCATCCTAAACCAAACCCTTTAAGCCTGACATCTTTCTTTTCAACCTTATTTGTGGCTATCTCATTTATCAGTTTCTCTCCTAACCCAAATATGCTCATTCCCTCCCAGGTGATACCATATCAAATGTTTTCAGGAACTAATACAGCAAATTTGAGTTTTTCCAAAGCTTTGTAGTGAGACTGAGACCAGGTTTCAGGGTCTGTGGTTGGTTAGGTCACTTTTCTTCTTTTCAAAGATGAGCAATTATAGTCCATGTTCAGCTGACCTAACATCAGAGACTTAGAGAGAGAGGTGAAGATTGCACGAGCTGTTCATGACGTGGTTTGACCTCTGGAGACATCTGAGTATAGAAAAGGCCAGGCCCACGTTTGCTACTTTCCAGTCATGACATTCTTAACTGATCAGTTCAAAACTGATCAGTTAAGAATTTACATATTCAGGACTGCAGATGTGGTCCCCATGATCTGAAAGCACAACATGGGAGTTCTGAATTTTTTGCTGTGGTGCTCATTTCTGTTCTGCCATTCACATGAGCTTAAATATTCTGCTGGGCCATTGAGAATGTATAAGGCATACTATTGTTTTCTAATTTTTTAAAAATTACTTTCTTATGTAGCAGATAACATGCATTGCTAAAGTCATTTTTAGTATTAAATTACTGTAAACGGTAATGATTCTCCTCAGGCAGCTAATAGGTGCAATCAAGAATGTAAAACCTTGTGAAAAAGCTGTAAGAAGGAACAGAAAAATATTTACTGTTTGATGAGGATTAGTGCTTTAAAAAACACACAAAAAATTAAAAACATAGTCATATTGTCTAAGAAATATTTACCTACAAAATAACTGCTTGTGAAAGAACTTGGGGGTGATTTTTCTCCTCTGCTCTGCTCTCATGAGACTCCACCTGGAACACTGAGTGCAGTTCTGGTGCCCCCAACACAAGGACATTGAACTGTTGAAGCAAGCCCAGAGGAGGCCAGGGAGTTGCTAAGGGGACTGGAGCATCTCCCCTCTGAAGACAGGCCAGGAAAATTTGGGCTGTTTGGCCTGGTGAAGATTTGTCAAGACTTCATAGTAACCTTCAAGTATGTGGAGTGGCTGTACGGGGAAGCTGGAGAGGGACTCATCTGGAGCTGTAGTGATAGTACAAGGGGCAATAGTTTCAAACTAAGAGAGGGAATATTTAGGTTGGATACACAGAAAATGTCCTTTACTGCGAGAGTGGTGAGGCACTGCACAGGTTGCCCAGAGAAGCTGTGGGTGCCCCATCCCTGGAAGTGTTCAAGGCCAGGTTGACAAGGACTTTGGAGCAAGCTGGTCTAGTGGAAGGTGTCCCTGTCATGACAGGGGATTGGAACTGGATAATTGGAACTTTAAGGTCCCTTCCAATACAAACCACTCTATGACTCTGATTTTTTTACCAATTTTACTCTTCAGACCTAACTGATGTCACAAATTACAAAATAATTTCTTATTCATGACCATTTAAAAACTGCAAAGCACTTTAAGCCTTATTAAAGCCATGCATTTTTAACTGTCATACTTATCCTGAAAATTAGCACAATTTAAAGATCAGGTCTCAGTTTCCTGAGGGAGGGCACACCAGCAATATGACCAAGAGCTTTTAAAGGGTCCAGCTGCACGGGGACAGCCAAGAGCAGATGCTGTCTCGAGCCAGCACACAGGTTCCAAGGAGAACACGCTGCTGGAGAGCGCTGCTGTGAACCAAAACCTGGCCGCTCCTGCAGTTGGGGCTCTCCTGTTGCTGCCAATTTATGGACTCTCTAAACACGGACAGAGCCAGGTTTCTAAACCTCTCCTTTCCAAAGGAGACATAGTTTGTTCTTTGCAGGGTGTGAGGCCGAAGTTTTCCACAAATCAAGCCTACCAATTCTCAAAACTGTATGCTATATATACAATTTAGCAAAGTCACACTTCATTGACTACAAGGTAACTAGTATTAATTAGTAGCCAATCTTCTGTTGCTTAAATAGTTATTTCCTTTCCTATACTATTTAGCCCACATGCTCAGTCTTGTATTCTTTTCATTTGATGTACTGGTGGTCGCCACCTCCCACTGCTGGATTCTAAAGGCCATGAATTGGCACCAATCCCCTGCATGGCAAAGGGTACGGGGACCTGTGGCGCCAGCCAAGGGACAAGAGATGGCCAGTGACACAGCAGGAGCCGGCGACTCCACAGCAATGTGCAATAAACGCCAGGCGGGTCCTTTGCCCAGGGCCTCCTTTGGGTTACGAGGCCTGTTTCACTGGTGAGCCAGGACCCGTTTCACGGCCTTCTTCTCATCCTCTGTAACCCTCCGGACGATTTGTTAACTCCCTCCGGCTCTGCGGGGCTCGGAGCAGCGGCCGGCTCCCCCTCAGCGGCGGCAGCGGGAGCCCGAGGGCGGCCGGGCCGGAGCGGCCCGGCCCGGCCCGGCCCGGCCCGGGGCCCTGCGCGCCGTGAGGTGTCGCTGCCGGGGAAGACATGCCAAGCATTGATTAAAAACTATGCACTCTGAAGTTTCGTCCATTGCCATGAAAGATCAGTCCAAGCGGTTTTACACACGCTTCTCTGTAAGCGAAATACAAAGAGAACGTAATTAACTGATGTTGAAACTATTGGTTTTTTAGTACAGCAACTTCATAGACGATTTGCGGGTCTATGTGAGAGGAGGAACTGGTGGAATGGGTTATCCTAATCTGGGAGGGGAAGGAGGAAGAGGTGGTGATGTCTGGTTCGTCGCCCGAGAAAGGACTACCTTAAAGAGCATTAGGGAGAAATATCCCCATAAGCGATTTGTAGCTGGAGCAGGAGCCAACAGCAGGTAAGAATCTATTTAATGAAAGTTGTTATTTACAACTTTTCCAGAAAGCAAAATGTCAGCTGAAGGTACTAAGCCTGGTTTAATTTCTCCCAGTGTTAAAGCTCTAAAAGGTGAAAAAGGAAAAGATCGTGAAGTTTACGTGCCTTTGGGAATTTCAGTTCTTGATGATGATGGCAAGCAGATTGGTAAGAACATTTGCTTTATTTTAAGGTATCTAATGCTTGTTACAATTATTGATAACATCTAGTCAATTTCTAATACTAGGATGTTTTAAGGTTTACAGGCTTTCCAAAATATTTCTGTGTTTTTCTTTGTTTGGCCAAAGAGTTGACAAATACACTGTAAAAATTGTTGGAAATGCAGGGACCCCTTCCAGAAATTAGCAGTAGTTGATCTGTATCACTACATACAAGTCCTTTGCTGTTGGAAACAAGTGTTAAAGGCTGGAAGCCATACTGATCCTCCACAGAACCATTCATGTCCTCACATAAGTTATGTCTCCATAAAACCAAGTAAGTGTCCCTATATCTTTACTGAATTATGAAAATGCTCGAAAGACAAAGATCTTTGCTGAATTTTAGGTTACTTAAAATGCATATCTGTTTTTTACTCACTAGGAAGATGTGTTTCAGTACTCTTGGAATAGCTCTCAATGGTTCCTTTGCAGTTTCTCAGGGTTTTTCTTTTCAGGCTGTCCAGAATTAAAACTAAATTCCCAAATTGTCCTGGTTTGGATGTTTAACTGCACTGGATGTATTGCAAGATTTGTTTATGATGCAGGCATATCAGAGGGCTAAAGATATCCAAGTGTTGTTCTTTTTGTTGTTGTTGCTGTTTTAATTATTCTAACCCTAAGGGAGGTAACATAGTCTGCATCTTAATGGAAAAATATGAACCATCTGAAGGGAACCACATCTCTACCAATGCTTATTTTTCCTTGCATTCTTGAATTCAAATATTGGAGGGTTCAGAATCTTGGCCATACTTTGCCTGACTGTAATTTTCTTGAGGTGACTGATTGTATGACAGAGAAAAATCCTGGGGTGTGATGGCTTTCGTTTGTTGCCAAACAAGGAAAATCACCATCACCTTGAGGGCACAGTTCTTGCAAGGAAGCATAGACAAAATTATCTTATAACGGGAGACATTTAAATGGAAGATCACAAATCAACTGCTGCAGAAGATTGTGTTTTTTCACTAACAAATTTATTTTCAGGAGAGCTTAATGCAGCAGGAGAGAGATTCTTAGCAGCTCGTGGAGGTCTTGGAGGTTCTTTGGCTACAAACTTTCTGCCTTGCAAAGGTCAGAGGAGAACTGTTCACCTTGATTTGAAGCTTATAGCAGATGTTGGCTTAGTTGGGTAAGTACAGTAGTTTGAAAACTAATATTAGAAAACAAAGTAGTACATTTCAAATTAGATTTCAAAGAAATTTGAGTTTGGATGATGAATGTTAATTGTGCATTTGTATTGCCTCCTAAGTTATTTGCAGTTTGAAAAAATCAGATTGAGTTTAAAGCTGTTAATTTTTACAATTGAAAGTATTCGTTATGTTTTGGTGAGTGAAGGGCTTCATGAATCAGGATAATACATAATTAGTAATATAATTGTATTAAGCAGTTGCAGTGATGGCCACAATAGTCTTAGCACAATATTTATTAAGCAGGTAGGAGGTGCAAAACAGTGCCAAGAACACTGCATATTGCAAGTTTAACTTCATGGCACTGGGACAAGTAGATCCTTACAGTAGAAATTCTGAAGAGAATTCCAAAGGCTATGTTTCCTACTCTCCCCAAAAAAACAGCTTGTAATGTTGGAAGGAAGTAATTACAAACTAGAACAGTAGGACTTGAATATCCATGTTGCTGCTTTATAACAATGCAGATAAGTATATTTTTATTTGGAGAAAGCTTTCAACAGCCTACACTTGTAGTGTAGTACAACTGTTGTTCTATTCAGCATCTGCTAACAAAAATCAGCCCTGTGGTCCTTATTAACAAAAAAACATGTAGTGATGAGTTTGAGGTGGAATTAGTCTAGTTGGTATATACCAATAACATGTGGAAACTTGAACACAGATTGATCCACTAACTATATTTTTTATTAGAAATAATTTTGACAGTATAAAATTTCTCTGAAGTTACAATTTTCAATTGGTCTTCAGTAATTACCTGACAGAATTTTTTTCTTGTTTTGATCAGTGAGAAAGTACAGGAGTTTTATGATGCCGATGCTTCTTTAATCTTGTATTTTAGCTGACAGTTTGCCTTCAAAATGGACACAAAAATCATTATTAGTCAATTAGAGAAGCATATAATTTACTTTTTGAGAGTATGAATCAGCCTCCAATGGTTGTGGTTGTACTTTGATCTCTTTGTTTGCTATTTTTGCCTTTTTTGTGAGTGGTTTGCTATTAGATCAGGTAAAAAAAACAAACTATGTAGACTTGAGAAAGGCCCATCAAGTTTGGGTACAGTTTGTGATGTGTTAGTCTAGGTTGCAATTTAAACATCAAAGAACATAATCTACTTCAGTAGAAACAAAGTGCTTTCTGGAGTATATGACCAGAGTAGCCTTTTGGAATGTCTTTAAGGCACCTTTCAACATCAGAGTGTATGAAAACTGCACTCAATAGTTTCCCTATTACAAGAGTCATTAGGTTGTTTTCTTCTTTTTTTAAGAAAGATTTATGTACAGCCCTTTTGTAAAGGCCTGTAATATAGTGCCAGCCTTGTTAACAGGCCATGGTTCTCCATGTATTCAAGTGGGGACTATTTGGTTTTCTGTGGGACACCTGCCTTTGTATCTTGTGACTGTGTTCAGTTGCCTGTAGAAAGTTTTCTTTGGTCATTCTGAGATAAATATTTGTGAATTTGACTGGAACTTAAGTTTTGTGTGGACTTTCTGGATGGAGTATGTGCTAAGAACAAGAACTAAGAACAAGAACTAAGTCCTAAGAACAAGGACCGCAGTCTATCCTTGGATGTCAGCATTAACTTCAAGTTTTACATGGGTCAAAGCTATTGTGCCTTTTCCAGCTCAGGTTAATCTTTAAAACAAGTGGGAATTACAATTTCAGTCTTAATTTAGGTTTTCATTTCAGTGGGTAGAGATATTCTGTGAAGAAGCTTTTGTTAAAGCTGGTGTATCCATTAAGGAACACTTTTGTAGGATGCAGGTATAGCTGTCCGTTGTAAAGCGAAAATGCTATAACAGACAGGTGTGCACAGACCAGCTCCTAGGTGTTCTTTTAGGTTTACTTGGTAGCAGAACAGGTCAGTACTAATTTCAGGATCCCTCATGCAACTTCACTGCCTTAAAACTACTCATACACTGTGTACGTGTGTGTCTATCCGCAGTCTCACTCTCTCTGAGTTTGCATTTGCTTTGCTCTGTTAGCTGAACTCTAGCATAGGTATCATTGGTACTTAAAGTATAGACTTTCATAAACCCTGATGTGTATGCTGAGAGACTGTAAATCCACCTGGTAAGATATTTGCAGGACAGCTTTTTAGAATGCAAGCATAATTTACAAAATTAGCTATAGCACATGAAGAGTGAATCCAGGTATGTCTGGATGGTAAATGCTGTGTTTCTGTCTGAGTGACTTTGAAAGATTTCACTTAAATAAATTACACCTGTATTTACATAACTCTCCTGTGTGCATCCTTAGGAAGCATTGTTTGATTTAGAAAAATTAGTCAGAGTTTATGTCAAAAAGTAAATCATAATGATCTAGGGCTTGTTTGTTTTGTAAAAAAACCCCAATAGTCTGAGTAAATGAGTGCGAAAATGAGTTGATAGCATCAAAGAATACATTTGGAAATAAATATACAGTAATCATATAGGTGTTTATTCAGTGTATCAATCCTGACTTTCCTTCTAGGTTTCCAAATGCAGGAAAGTCATCCTTGTTAAGCAAGATTTCACATGCCAAACCTGAGATTGAAAATTATGCATGTAAGTTCATACTCTTATTTTTAGAGCAGTAATGTTTCCCAAGAAGGAAAAGAAGTCTTTTCGCTGACTTGCTTATAGTAAATATTTATAATAAAGAACAGGGTAGCAATGTTGCCTGGCTTTTTAATTGTAAGAAATACTTCAAGGAGATACTTGCTGCCTCAGTGTCCAGTTCCTTTACCCATCTCAGTTTTTCATGTATACACCCCCATAATGCTTCAGCCTGTTAATGCAGGGTCTATTTAACATTTATTTTTGTCTCAGCCCCGTTTATTGCAACTGAGACTCTGTGTGGTGTGTAATATCCTCAGTCTCCAGAATATGTACTGTCAAGTTCCTTTGCTTGTATATCTTTATGCTTTAGAGCTTGCTACCTTGCAACAGAGAAGATTTTGGGGTTTTAATCTGTCCACAGAATTATTTTTTTTCTATCAATAAGTTCGAATTAGTTATCTGATCTTCTTCAATTAAAAAGTAAGTGTGCAAGTACCAATAACTCCTACTGACCTTTTTGCACTATTCCCAATTCTCTACAGCCTTTTCTCAGTTTGAAGAGTCCTATCCCACTTTACCTTTCATTGTTTTATCCCTGTTTGGAAGCTAATCCATAACCTAGGTAATAGTTTTTGTGTCTGAGACTTCTCTACCTTCACTGTTCCCATTTTGGGATGACTGGAGCAGAACTGCAGAAAGAGATAAGACTTGGTCAAGCACTGGAATTTTTGTGGTCTAATTTTCATCTGTCTTATTTTGCTTTTTCTTAATTCCTTTTCCTATTTTTTTTTTTGCGACTGCACATTTGTTTCATTTAAATACACTGAGAAAGTTCTACAATATTTAAATGTTTTGTAACTTCAACATTTTTTTAAATGTTAAGACCAGTTTGTTTTCTTCCTGTCCGTTTGCCACAGTCACAACAATACAGCCTGAACTAGGAAAGATCATGTATGCGGATTATAAGCAGGTTGGTATGAAACTTCACTCTGATTGTTTGCTAAAGTTATATGGAGTGACTACTTATGTTGCTTAACAGAATTTCAGAAAGAGAATGAAAACTTGTGGGTATTTTCATATGTATCTATAATGTGTACATGTCAAATGCAATTACACGGGTTGAACAGGAGTTGTGAGAAAAGTACTGTTTTATGAAGTAATAATAAGAGACTTTCATAGCCAAATACAGCATTATGATGTAGAGCTTATTTCAAGTCACTTTAATAAATGGCTTCTCATTTTCTCTTACCTTCCTTCTGTGGTTCTAATCCTGGCTTACAATCTTAGAGGTGTGAAATTGTTCATGGAATTGAGATTGCTGTCTCCTAGTGTACTCTTAAAAGTTCAGGACTTGGAAAGAAATCACTGTTTCAGAGAGCAGCCTGTTATTTTTATTTAGAAGAAGCAAATTTCTTGCAAGCTGCCTGTACAGAGAGCTCTGGACTGAGTGAGTAATTTTCAGAATTCAAATAGTGGCAGATTTGTCCAGTAGCTGAAGATCTATATTAGTGCATGGCAGTAAGTTTTGTGATTATAACCCTGCTACCATAGCTTCTTGTGATGACTTCCAAGGTTGGCTGTTCTAGCTTTCTTTCAGGTTTTTTCTGTCTTTGTGGCATTTTTGTTGGTTTGGTTTGTTTTTTCAGGCGTAGGGGGTGGTTTTTTTTTGTTTGGTGGGTTGGGTTTTTTAATTAAAAACTGAAATAGTATAATGTGATAGTGATTACCTGAACAGGGAGGATAGTGCTCTACCTGAGAGATGAGGCACCTGGGTCCAGTTCCTTTTGTGGTAGGCTGTGGTTGTGAAAGACTGGTGGAGTTATGGCCCTACCACTTCAATTTTTGTGAACTCTGTTCCACCCAGAGTTCAACCTTCTTCATCATAAAAGTTCTGAAGAAGGTCTTCCAATTCTTCAGATAAAAGTTGTCTGATTAATTGTGTGATGCCTGGAATCCTTTCTACAGTATCCAATTGTGAAAGACTGGTGGAGTTATGGCCCTACCACTTCAATTTTTGTGAACTCTGTTCCACCCAGAGTTCAATCTTCTTCAACATAAAAGTTCTGAAGAAGGTCTTCCAATCTTCTTCAGATAAAAGTTGTCACATTAATTGTGTGGTGCCTGGAATCCTTTCTACAGTATCCACTGCTGTGGAGACCAGTGCTAAATGAGACTAGAGAGGCTAATAGATTTTGGACCCCAGCTTCACTTAAAAGTTGCATCAAACATTTTCATTCCTCAAGCTTGAATCTTCTTTGATGTGCTTTTACTTTGTTTTTGAAGTGTATGATACATGCAGTAGTGGACTCATCATTTTCAAGATAAAAGGCAAGTGCATAAAAGGGTTTCAGATGAGTTAACCAGAAAAACATAATCCTCAGATATGAAAGGACAAAAAACTACTGTTTCTGCTTTCAGAACCAATAATACTAAGGAGATTGAGTAGCTGATGCTTGAAAGCTTCATTTAACAAACTTCAAGTAAACTGTGTATTAAGAAAGTAAGCCTAGTTTGTCTGGTTCCCTGCAGAGATGCAATATGTCTCAGAGAATTTTTTTATATTCATTTTATCTGCTAGTTTAGGGTAGCTAATCCTGGAAAGCTGTGCTGCAAATAAACAGGATTTTTCATAGCCCTTCCAAAAAACTGTCTGCCATCAATGAGGATCTCTTGCTTACATTGATGTCTTTTTCTCCAGCAAGAGATCTACTTGCACTCCTGGCTTTCTTTTCTGAAGTCTTTTTGTTGTCAAAGCCAGTGATCCTTACTGTTGGCCATTTCTCCAGTTCATGGCTTTTATTCCACAGTGTCGGGGGCGATATAGAAACTATATGGACAAAATACCTGATTTCTGAAGTCGAGGGAACTAGGGGTGGTGATCACGTGGAGCTTCTGGGGGTAAGAGGAAGTACTCTCCATATTGCAACTGCTGAATCCAAAACAAAATAAGCAGTGTAATTAAGAGCAATGATTGAGGTGTCTTTCCTGTATCATTCAAAGGACAATGACTCATTTTTTTCCTAAAAAACATTGATATTTTTAAAGAGATATGTAACAATTTGTCATTTTATCTTAGTACAATATAAAAAAGAAAATATGTGCAAGTTTCCTAGTGCTGTCTGTCATTACTGCTTGGAAAAAAAAAAAAAAAGACACAGAAGTAGAGGATCTGAGTAGAGTTGGGTTTCAGGTCTCAGTACCAGATCATGAAAACTAGCAGAATCACTTACATTTTCTACCAGAGTATCTGAGCCCCCTTCTGCACTAAGTAGCACACTGGAAATGTTATAGTGTGCTGGCTTCAGGTATCGTTCAGTTTAATCCAGTTGCTGACTCAGTGGGCATTAGATAGATTTGAAGACCCTACCTTTGCTCTTCTTTACTTCACTCTCTGTCTTAGCTTTCTGTGACTTACTGAGTAGCCATTTTTGGGGGGTTTCATTATCAGTCTGCTTTTTTTTCAGTCTGCCTCAGCTGTCCAACAGCCCTCTCAACCAGCAGAGAAAATAACAAAGTCCCTGTTCCAGTGTTTGCTGGGCTCTGTCTGGAAGCTGATTGATTAATCAAAGTCTCATTTGAGCTGAAGAGCAGAAATCAAATTCTTGTAGCTTCTGCTGCTCAGGGGAGCAGTGTTAAGTGGGTTTGTATCTGGAGTAATGATACTCTGTAGCCACAAGGAACAGACTTTATTTGCTTGCTCAGTGACAGTGAGAAATGTCACTATACAAATGTGATAGCCTAAATGCTCGCCTTTCAGAGTCTGTTTTATTCTCAGGTAATAGCTACATTTTGTAAGATCTCTGCTGAGGTATTATTAGCCTCTATTTTGTACTTTGCAGACAGCTATAAAAAATAGACAGGGGGAACATGAGAAGCACCAGGTCTGTGTAATAGCAGCATTTTGTTTAATCTTGTATTCTTGATAGATTGTAAATGTACTGAAACAGCCAATGCATATTATTTTGTCTGGGTTCTTTTGTTTATGTATAGTGATAATCACTATTGATAATTTAAAGTCCCTCAGTTTGCTTACTGGAAGTATTTTGTTTGAAACTTTGGTTTTCCTAGATTTCAGTAGCTGATCTCCCAGGACTGATTGAAGGTGCACATGCAAACAAAGGAATGGGCCACAAATTTCTCAAACATGTAGAGAGAACCAAACAGCTTCTCTTAGTTGTAAGTTAAATAAAATTTACAGTTTATTGAAATCAAAATGCAATAAATTGAATACATCTTAATTGAAATGTAGTTGGAATTTAGAAAATAAATTATAATTTGCATGATTATGATAAATAGAGCTGTAATTGTGTTTACAGAATGGACCACTCAAATGACTAATGATAAATTAAGTTCTTAAATAGAATTTATCATTGAAAATTTCTGATTTAGAACAATGAAGTGTTCCAAGCATACCAAAACCCTGATTTATTCTTTTTCTGTAAGATTCCCGTAAGAAGTTTAAAAAATGACTAATGATAAATTAAGTTCTTAAATAGAATTTATCATTGAAAATTTCTAATTAATTTAGAACAATGAAGTGTTCCAAGCATACCAAAACCATGATTTTTTTTTTTTTGCTGTAAGATTCCCTTAAGAAGTTTAAAATCCAGGCCTTTGAGAAACACTGTATCAGAATTAAGCAGTTTGTGCCTCCAGTGTCTGATGTTTCTTTGCTGTTTAGTAGACCTCTGTTATTTGCCCAGGAGTGAACACACTGCCATGGACATTCCAGGGCAAAGTAGTTGCTGGAGAGTACCTTAATACTGTAGCATAATTTTACACCACAAAAACTTGTTTTTGTGTAACTTTTTCAGGTTGATATTTCTGGGTTTCAGCTGTCTATGAAGACTCAGTTCAGAACAGCCTTTGAAACAATATTGCTTCTAACAAAGGTGAGTTCTCGTGTTCCTATGTGACAGCTGTAGTTACGTGTTGAGACAAGAGAATGGCTGAGTTTTGATGGAGAAACAATCAAATGTTAGGTGTCTTCTGGATTTATAATATAAGGCCAGTGACCAAAGAGATTCTCCAAAATGGAACAGCCTTTGAAACAATATTGCTTCTAACAAAGGTGAGTTCTTGTATTCCTACGTGACAGCTGTAGTTGAGTCAAGAGAATGGCTCAGTTTTGATCAAGAAACATTCAAATGTCAGTGTGTCTTCTGGATTTATAATATAAAGCCAGTGACCAAAGAGATTCTCCAAAATTATGAAGTCTTTATTTTTACTTGTCCAGGTTAAACCACTCTAGTTTATGTTGGGTACCACATAATTATTAATAGAATTGTTTAATCTATGCAGCATGTGGGATATTTCTTACAGTCAAGTAAAGGTAAAAAGACAGATAATTTTCAGTTTCCCCAATCCAGTGGCATTTTTAGAAGTAGAAATAATATTTCTTACAGTCAAGTAAAGGTAAAAAGACAGATAATTTTCAGTTCCCCAACCCAGTAGCATTTTTAGAAGTAGAAATGTGTGGTTACAGTTAAAGCCCTGCCTTGATGCCCTTACTGCATGAACCAACATCAGGCCCCAGCTTTGCAGTCATTCACTATTTCCATCTCTTAACTGTGCTTCTAATTAAAATAATACATGTTATGTAACTTAAATTTTATCTCTGTGTGACTGAAGTTGATGAATCTTGTAAATTTTGGGTATTGCTGTTTATTTTTAGTTTATTCAGGTTGTGATTTTCTAATATTAAAATGTTTAAGAATTATAACACTCTCTAAATTATTTTCTTATATGTTTTATAGGTCTGAAGTTTTTCTGAAAATGATTTTGTGTTCATGAATGAATAAACAAAAAACTAAAACTCTCATTCTTTTTGTAAGAGGCATTTCAGAATGAGCTAGCCTGTTTACCTGAAATCTGTCTTTGAGCAAAAAAATTACTGAATCACTGAACATTTTCTTCTGTGCTGTATTCTATCAGCCTTGAGCACGTGAGTCAAACTCACAGCTGCTTGGGCAAGAAGGGCTATTTAGGCAATTAAACAAATGCAAGAGGAAATGTAAAATTGAAGTAGCACTTGTTAAACTACAAATACTTACTAAAGGAAATTTACTTCTCTTTTAAGGAACTGGAGCTGTACAAAGAAGAACTTGTAACAAAGCCTGCACTTCTTGCCATTAATAAAATGGATTTGCCTTGTGCAAAGGATAACTTGGATGAACTTATGACACAACTAGAGAATCCTCAAGGTAAATGAAATTCCGACAACAACTCTCATCAAAAGTAGCAGTAAGATTTCATATGGATAACTGCATTGGCAGAGAGTTGTTTGAAGCTGAAGTCAGCTAGTACATTTCTTACTGGAACATATGTTTAAAATCACTTCCTGCATTTAGAGCTGTGTTTATATGCATTTAAATGATTGTAATAAAATAGAGATATCCCAGATGATCTTTCCCAGCCATGATATGAAAGAGCAAGTTTCCAGTCTAGGTGTCTGGAATAAGAGTAACCTGCATAGAAGGTCTCCTCACAGGCACTGATATGTGTACCGTTTTTCATATGATTTTGGCCTAAAAACTTGAAAATGATGGAAAGGTCTATGTAGGTTTATTTCAGTCTTGCAATTATGTTGGGGTGAATTGTTTTCTCTTTCCTGGAGTGTGTAGAAACCAGAAAGGCTTAGAGCCATATTCACCCATATTCTGCAACTTGGGATTTCTTTGTACTCATTGGAAGTGCATAGAATCTTCTCATGGCCACATTAAGAATGGTATAACTGCTGTATTAGTGCTTGTCTTTTGAGATTTGAGAAGGCTAATTATGCAGATTGTATGTATATTAATTATAGCTATGTTTATAACTGTAATTTATTAAAGTTTATTTTCTACATTTAATGGGATTTTATGGGCTTTGTAGTGATACAGTACTTGTAGTGATACAGGGGATTGTACTAACTCTTTCAATACAATTTTTCAGACTTCTTTCACTTACTAGAGGAAGAAATGATTCCAGAAAATACTCTTGAATTCAGAGAGGTAATTCCTATATCTACGTATACTGGAGAAGGAATTGAGGAACTCAAAACATGTCTAAGAAAATCCATAGATGAGCAAGCAGAGCAGGTGAATGAAGAATATCGGAAAAAGAAACTCCTGCTTTTACAAACTTCCAAAGAAGAGCAAATGAATAGAAGCTGACATTCCTGAATGGATCCAGTACATTTTAATATTTTAACTATGCCCATGAAGCCTTTGTTGTGCAGACCTTCCAGTTAATTGTTCCCTCTTGCATCACTGCCTGCTTCCCTCCTTGTTTAGGCACTTGGGTAGGGCACAATGGAGAAAGAGACAAGTTTGTTTTTTTTATTTACATTGGCTACGAAGCTCAACAGTGTAAAGACCAAAGTATGTGTAACTCAAAACACTGCTCAATACCTGGTGATCCCTGGAATATTTTTTTGCCAAGCGAGAGGAATGGAGGAATATAACTTGCACAAAGGAGCAAGTTCAACAACTCTACATGTCCTGTGGGCATCAGAAGAACCAAAGGAAATGTCTGATGGAGGAATTTTCTAAGATCTGGAGCTTCTAAGGTGAACCAGTTCTGCTGTTGTGACAGGCATTGGATTGTAGGGGGTTTGTTGGTTTTAAGGATTTAAAGGAAAACACATATAAATGGCTACTAGGAAGTGACTTGTAGGAGCACTAAAAGCAAGACTAATTTGTAATGTTGGAGGTTTTTTTGATACCTGCTGGTGCCTACTGCAGTTATCTTAGCTGTATAAATCTTGATTCCAAATTCCTATGCTCAATTTGTGATTCCTCCTTTTATGGAGTTGTTGGGTTTATGTTACAATTTGGTGAAGAATAGTGCTTCTTCTCAACAGAGCTATACATTTTTGGAAATATTTAGTGTTCCAGATTTTGTATTACAAGAAGGCACACTCACATTTTACTTTGAAAAAAAAAATTGAAGTCCTTTATTGTCAGGGTGTTTTGTACTTTAAAGCTATTAAATTGCTTGTAAAGCAAAATAAGATTGAATACATTAAAACCTTTTAGTTTGGTTTAGTTTTGTTTTGTAGTATATGTATCATACCCTGCTTTTTTAAATTTTGTTAAAGCAGTCACCGGGAAGAAAGGTATGGTTTCTCATAATGCATTTTTTTTATCATTGGTACTGATTCTTACTGTGTTAAGGGCTAATATGCTTTCCCTAATGCTAAGAATAGACTGTCAATTGTTTTTAATACTCCATTTTACAGAATCAATTAGATTGGGAAAGACCTGTGAGATTGAGTCCAACCAATGACTGAACACCACCTTGTCAACTAGACCCTGGCATTCAGTGCCATGTCCACTGTTTCCTTAAACACCTTTACCGTCCACTTTCCTGGGCAGCCCACTACCCTTTCTGTGAAGAAATTCCTTGTGATGTCCAATCTGAATCTGCCCTGGTACAGATTGAGGACATCTCCTCTCATCCTGTCGTGAAGAGAGCGACCCCCACCTGGCTACAGCCTCCTTCCAGGGGGTTGTAGAGTGATACATCACCCCTGAGCCTCCTTTTCTGCAGGCTGTTGTTTCACAGCTGAAAATAGCATTTTATTTTTCCCGGACTTTGCGAACACCGGTGTTAACCTCTCTCATTAAGGGGGGAGTGGGGCTGTGTTCGGACTAACAGGCAGCATGGTTTGACTGCAGCTGAGCGCCGTGGGCCGTAGCTGCCTGCCGCAGTCGGGTTCGCCTTATCGCCGGGACGTGTTGCAGAGCAGCGGCGTTCCGGCCCGGGCTGGCGGAGTCCCCCGTTCCCGCGGGAAGCGGCAGGCGCGGAGCCGCGGTGTGCCGGGATGCGCCGGGATGCGCCGGGATGGGCCGGGATGCGCCGGGCGGAGCGGCGGCCATGGCGGCTCCTGTGCGCGGCGGCGAGGTGAGCGGGCACGGCACGGCACGGCACGGCACGGCGAGCCCGGGCCCCGCGGCGCTTCCCGGCTCCCCCGCGAGTCCGGGATCGCAGTGCGGCAGGCTCCGGGCGCGGGCGGGGATCGGCGGTGCTCCCCGGGGTTCTCTCTCTGTGTTCTCTCCGTGCGTCAGCTGCTCTTTCCCATTCAGTCGATAAAATAATTATCCCCCCTCCAAGTTTTTCTTGGAAGTCCTAATCTGCTAGCTAGGATCGTTAATTCTAACTCGATACGGCTATACTTAATTTTAAAAGGAGTTTTGTAGAACGTGGAACTGCATGATTGATTCCCAGCATTAAAAAAAAAAAAAGACTGGCGGCAGTGGTTCTGAACCGGTCCCTGGAAAGTGGCGAGCTTTAGGCCTCCAGTTTCCGGTGGCCAATTAGCCAAAACTCGTGAAAATTTTTGAACTGCTGATGGTGTTGTGGATAGTTAGGCAGCCGTTTGTGTTCATAAATTATACTGTGACTTCTCTCCTCCAGGGCTTTACTAAATAGTGATGCTTCCCAGACCGTGGGCTTCTCCCGGCCGTGCAAGGGAACAGAGCTGGTTTTACTAATTTCTGAATTATGTCTATAGTAAATGTCCTTTTTGTTGTCTTTTTTCAATTTTTTTTTTTTAATCTTGTGGGCCTTTAATGACTTACCAGTTGATGGAAGAAGCTGAAGCCAAGAATCTAAGGCAAGGCAGGGTTTTATCTGGCCAGAGTGTGCTTTCTTCCCTTGGACAACTAGTTGGCAAGTGGCTGGGGTCCCTAGTTGTTCAACACCACTAGGAATAGACAATAAAATCAGATGGACTAAAGAGAGGAAGAAAAAAACAAAATAAACTCCATGTCTGCAGAAATGAGTTGGGTATTGGGGAATATTCTATAGCTGCTCTGTATCTGTTTATTACAACACAAGTTTCATCATTTAATGGGAGGGACTCCTGGGCTGGGCACAGCTCCCTCTGACAGCTTTGTTTGCCTGCAGCAATTTTTTATTTTCATCATTTAATGGGGGGGACTCCTGGGCTGGGCACAGCTCCCTCTTTGTTTGCCTGCAGTAATTTTCTGCTTAATTATGTTGTTGTGGTTGTTCATGGGTGTGAACCTGCAGAGGGAGGTCTGTGTGTTTATCTTGGCTTCAGCTGCAAAGTGCACAGAAAGCTTGAAAATTCATCAGTAATGTTAGTGAACAAAAGCTGCTGCTCCAAGCTGTGTGTCTGCAGTTGTGTCTTATATGCAATAGCATTCTTATTAATGAGTTTCCAAATCTGAAGCCTTCTTTCTCATTCAGTGAAAAAATCAGGGTTCATGACTGTGTTGTAAAGTCTCTTTCTTGCCTAGATAGTTTGATAGAAGGATTTCTTTGCTGTTTTTGTAGGTGATGGAGACTATTCATATATGAATTTTAAAATATTTCAGGGTTTGATATGGGTAATTTAGAATAAGCTCTGTCTTTGCACGTTAGCCCAACAATTTTGTCAGTATGTTGTTACTTTTAACAGTTGCCTACTGACATACTTGGAGGTCTGATGCTGTCCAGTAGTAAAGTGATTTATATATTTTGACCTGCAGATTTGATACTGGGACTTAGATGTGGGGGTAGAAAATCCACAAGAGGATCTTTTCCTCTGGAAAAGCTGGGCAGCTGTTGAAAAGGCATTACCAGTGTTTCCTGGTTTTCTCCAGTTTCCTTGAAACCTTCATGTAGAAAGCAGGAAGGAATAGTGACCCACAAGATACATAAACAATGTAGAGCTTGTCCTTTGTTTTCTGACATTAAATAATCATTGCACCCTTTCCTCACTGCAGTTTAAGTGCAGCCTTGAACCTAACATCTGCAGTAATCATTTGGTATGACTTCTTATGGATTTTTTGCTAAAAAATGAAATTCAGGATGCAGACTCTGTGTCTTTGAATGCTCATGAGAGAAGCAGTTTTTTGCACCTTTGTCTTTTGAGATGAATAGATAAAGTGCAAGCTCTGGAGAAAAAAATTGAAGAAAGAAAAAAAAGTAGTTTGAGTTGTGTTTTTTAAATAAGAACCAATTGTAGAGGTGACGGAGTTGGCCTAATGCAAACATAACTGATATTCCTAATTCCTGAATTGCAATGTAAATGCTGTTGCTGAAATTGCATGAAACAAATGTGATGTTGACTCTTTGTTCTGTTTTTTAGATCCAGTAACACCTTTTTCCTGCTTATAGAAGTTGCTAAAGTTTCTATTAGTTTGAGGACACTGCTGGTAAGTGCACTGAAGCCATCTAATTAAGACAACACCTCTTTTCTTACTGTCTTCATTAGGGATCTGAAGCTATAATTACAATCATAAAGCCAGAAGTACTTGCAAGATGGGATAGGTCTCTCCTGATGGAAGGGATGGTGGGTAACGTGCCTGTTTTCTGTAATCTACTACTACAAATGAATTTTCAGAAACAGCAGGTTTCTGAAAATGGTCAGTCATGTGTTTATTCCAGCTGGCTCATGTACAGCTCTATCTTGGAGTATGCCCTGTCTGCATGCCAGTTGTATCCACGTAAAAGCAAGCTCTTTATGGAACAGCAAAAGCATCAAGCTTGAGGAGAACAAAATTTGATGCAATATTAGATTTACCCCTGAAGTTCATTTGTTAGAGTTCCATTTTCTTGCAAGTTGATTGTTTTGACCTTACCAAAGCTAGGGTTAAGCATCACATTAAAACAATCATAATGGAAATACTTCTCTGGTCCCTCTACCCAGGGGCTATCCTGTTAATGACCTGCCATCTGAAAAGTTTACTGCCATGGGAAGAGAAGCTTGCCCACGCTCAGCTATCCTTAGCAACAATATAATGCTATCTTTTTGACAAACAAGGTAGTTTTTTAGCATTAATGTGGTTGTCATTATTTCTTTCCAGAGTGCTGCTTTAGAATCTAGACAGTGATCAGCACTTAAATGAAAATGTCCACGTGGCAGTGCAGTTCTTCAGGGTTCGAGGGCATAAAATAATTGCCTAATGCTTTCTTAGGAAATGAATTGAACTTCATTTATTTGTCTATAAATCAATAGAATGCTGGCTAGCTGTATGGCTTGATAATGCTTTTAGTGTGTTTCCAGTATCCATGGGAATTCCTTACCTGATAACTGGAGCTCCCTGGTCATTGGATGTTTGCAAAAGGAGAGTGAGGGATCAGATCCAGTTGCCTTTTTGTTTGCAGCCATGTCTATAACCTTTCTGTGATACAGATACTCAGTTGCTGGTATGTGCATTAAGCAGAACTT